CTGTATTTGTTTGATAGTAAGAATAATAAAAAGTGAAAAAATTAGTAACAGCATAAAGTAGTCAAAGTTTTTTCATTTAATGTATTTCTAATACATATTATGGCACATTTTAAGTCCCAAAAAAGCACATTTTTCAGTCTTACGACAGTAAATGGTTCGGCTAAAATACAAGGACGATTGAATTATCGAATGCTTTTCGTTTAAAAGTTTGAATTAATTAAACTATGAAATATTTAAACATACTTTTTCTCAAGCTACTCCCTATTTGCATCTATTGTACCACAGTGTAGTTTCTAATGGCAGTACTTGATATAAAGGGACCAGATGTACAAACATTGTAGATATAGATAACAGAGAATGATTTAAGTTAGAAGTAAACATTAATCATCGATTAATGAAAATATTAGTTCATGAAACCGTTGATCAATAAGGCATTGATTTGATACTTGCGGCAATACATTAATGTAATGTACGAATCTTATTATCATGTGCCTTGAATTATATTTTTGATAAATGTTAAGCTCATGGACCACAGTACTAACGGTAAATGCAGTTGCATTCCAAAAAAGCTAACCATTATTAAGTATTTATTCAAATTGTATCGTTAACTTTTATAGAAATACAGGTAAAGAAGTATATGAGATGCAATCGGCAGTAGTAGTTACTTTCGCACAATTAAAAATATTTATTGTTGCTCTCTCATTCGTTCGTTTGTGTAAAGTGTTTTTTTATTGAAAAATTGTTAGTAAAATCTACTTTCCCCACTAGTCGTCAAACAATGAGGTGTACAATAAACAATAAGGAAGAATCTCTACCATGAAATTATGTTTTATGATTACTGACATCATAATGAAAAATTAGTATAAAGTGCATATTAAATTAATTGAATTTTATAATTTTACCAAAATTTTTGTTGTATAACAATTTCAAACTCTAAAGCAATTAAGGCATATACTCGGTTCAGAGCATGCAATCTGTCCAAGTATCTCTGAAAAATGAAAAAACACAAATTATATTACCAAAACGTGTAAAAAAAATTTGACCAATCATTCTTAAAAAGGAACTTAATAACATTTTCGTACGTTACAACTGATATCTCTTTTATAAAGAAAACAAAAGTGTGTAAAATAGTAAACGATATTAAAAACAACTTTTCAATTAATATAACGTTTTCTATGATAAAATATCAATGAATTGGAAAATCTTGCCTTGTAAAAAGTACAATATACAATAATTTGTGCAAATTTTAATATTCTGAATTTTCTCGAATAACATATGATCTTTATTGTGCTACTGTGAAATAAATTTACATAATTATCAGCATATATTATCATAAAAAGTATGTATGGTACAATCATATTTTATTGTTTCATTTTGATGTGCAAGAAGTCACATTGATAAGCACAATTTTATAGTCTGCATATTATTACAACAAAGTTGAACATATACACATCAGTAGCACATAGTTGCAAGTTAAAGAGTATTTACACAAACAACATTTTATACAAGACAACATATTTTTTAAACAGAATAATTAATAAGTACTTGACTGATAATATTGTTCTCTTTAATGAAATTAATATAGCCTGATGCGAATAATAAGTCAAATGCACTTAAATTTCTTTTTACAAAGCAATATCACTTATATAATTATTATCATAATAAAAAGATAACTTTGGTCTCCTAATCCATTTATACAACAAAATTATCATTTTATTCGTCATTGTCATCGTTGGGTTTAATGCTAGCATAATTGTTCATGTTTCTATTCACCCTCAGCATCTTGAGAAAACTTCCTAATACAAGTATAGTTTTCCTGTGTCTTCTGAAAATTCCAGCATAAAGTTCTTCACGTACATCTCTCCTATCACTTACATCTGAATCAATACTCGACACAGAAACAACAGAAGGTTTAGCAGAGACCGGCTGATGATAGCTATTGGTCTCTCCCGAATTTAAAATAACACAATGTTGGTTGTTTATCATCTCTATTATTAGCTTTTTACTTTCCTGTTTAATGTAGCGGATCAGTATCTTGTATATTCACGTTTTATGATAAATTACTATTTACCTCACAGTGCTTACTCACAAATTATATGAAATTATTTTCATGTAGTCTGTGAAACTTCTGTGATTACACTGAATGATTCAGCAATGAGTTAACTTCTTATAAGTTGCAGATTTTTATTTTCCTGCTATCAGACATATTTGCTAGGAATCTGACAACAGTACTATGTATAAGACAGTGTAATTTGCCTTTTGTATACGATGATATCATCTCCTCTTAATCACTTAATTCTTATATGTTTGAACTATAAGGCAGCTGTCTTGTCTCGTTATCAAAGCCTTAGTTATCACTGAAGGATTTGTCACACATTAATTGCAATATTTTGCATTCTCTAACAATTTTCAATATTTTGCATTCTCTAACAATTTTCAATATTTTGCATTCTCTAACAATTTTCAATTTTTTGCGTTTTATCTTCTCTCACTTTTCGTTTTATAATTATTTTAAATACTTTATTAAACTCGTTGTATTTTAAAGCTCTGCTTAGGACTTATTAGTTCAATTTACTTTTCATCTGTTTAGAACTATTTTTTTTTTAATAAATTATTTCAAAAAACGCCTTAAAAGTTCAAAAATTCTGCTTATAATATATGCAAATTTGTTGAGAGTAAAAAATTATAATTTATAATAAAAGAGATGCGCAGACTAAGATTAATTTTGCGATCACTGTATCAAAATTACATTGATTCTTCTTTCGTTTCCTTAGCGGTTGATGATTTTTAATACCACATATACCTGAAAAAATTAATAATTTACGTTTTATTATATACAAGGAACTGAAATTCGCCCGGAGAGAAATAAAAGCGGTATTACGCGCATCAACAGGTTTTCTATAAACACGATCTTCTACGATGTTATTTTAGAATTTTGTTTTCAGAAATATGATATTTTTGGCGGCGATGAGAGACAGGAAAAAAGTATTCGACTCTGGTTTCGGTTGCATTATGTAGGGTGTAAATATTAATATAACATGCTCATTAGTAGCATAACATTCGAAAAGATAATTCGAACAACAAATTTTATAAAATAATTATGAATGAAATAATCAATTACTTATTTAATACGAACTAAATTAATAAATAAAAATGCACGAATAAAATTAACTTTTATGTCGTTAACATTCATCGTTGAATAGTTATTTAAAAATACGTACATAACAATGATAAAAATATACGTAATAAGATGCGTCACCTACTGCAACAAATATTTACGCGATTACGAAAGTTTGGCAAATTTTATCATAAGCAAACATGCAATTTTGTTATTCATCCGTTTTCCAGTTAATATGATCAAATAAATACCATTTAATGCACAGATTAAAAAAAAATCAATATTTTATTTGTGCAAATCTTTTTTCATAAGGCAATTCTGTACTATTTAAATAATGTTATAATTAAAAAAAAAAGTGATAGAAAGTAGGTAGGTTTACTTTAGACTAATGCATTCAGTTTGCAGGTCAGGTTTCAGAAGCCTTATTCTTAGGTGCATTGCAACATGCAAACTGATTGCTAATAATGTTCCTCTTACCACCTACACATATGTATATGTATACGCACATGTATATATGTACATGTACATTCTGAGAATATTAAAATATTAAAAAATTTAAAAGAATTAATTTAATTTCTTGATAACTTCATTGTTATATAGATTTTGCCTAATGATGCCAGGGCAAGAAGGCTATTTGTAACATCCGGTGGTTTAAAGAAAGTACAAGAAATTCAAGCAGAACCTGGTTCAACGCTTTCAGAATATATACAAATTATCAATTGCTGTTTTCCAGAAGAAATTGTCAGGTTGTTGTTGCTCTTATGTTCTTACACAAACAGTATTTCGACTGGTAAATTCAATGGATTGTTCGTTCGATCATAAGTTAATAATTACAGTTAGTTTATGATCATACAACAATTAATAACTTGAATATTTGTGGAGAAACCTGGAATTTATAATTTATAAGTTATAATGTTGTATTGCCAAGGTATACGATTATTTTAAAATACTGATTTATTTTTAATGCTTTATTATTCGCACTAAATTAAATTGCTAGAATTCTTGTAAGATTTTTTATGTTAATAAAGTCGTCAGTACATGTAGAAGAGTACGTGTATGTTAAGATAATGGCAACAATAGATAATCATCAAAAACACTAGTTGCTTTTGACATAACCCTAGCACAGGTTTACTTACCGAAGGAATTGGATAGTGTAAAATTTTCTCGATGAAAATGTCCAGTCTTCTTAGAGTCGTTCGCACCAACAGCGAATGCAAACAACTGCTGCTCCGTTTCTGGATCTCGCGTGTCTTAATTTAAATCGGACAAGTTAATATACGGCGCGATCGCCATGTTGTCACAGCTGATTGCATTGGAAAAATAGAAACCTGAAGTTTAATGGATCAATAATTTTACGCGTACTCAATGATTTCTATAATTTACCTATCAATCCTGTACTTTTATATGTTTCTTATCTAAATGGCGATATAATTTGACGTCATTCGTGTTTATCAATTATGAACGTATACTTTTTACATATTGTTATCTAGCATTCCGATTCATTTCATGATTATTGCGATAAATCATTTTTTTAATATACTTTTTACATATCTCACTTGAAAAGTAATCTGACTATTACTTAAGTTTTCATGACTATATTCGATTCCTTTAATTTATTTCCTACTAAAAGTTCTCGTTTAATCTGCATTAACTTAATCATTACATTTATTACTATCAGATATTATTCTCCTGGATATCCGGACAGTCTCTTGGAAGCGGTCGAACTGTATCAACCAAAATGCCCATCGCTTTTTGCAATGGAAAAACACGAGTTATCTGATACCGATTCCAAATCTACTCTGTCATCTCATAACGAAGATTGTTAAAATAATGCTCATTATTATTAGATTTTCTAATTGTATATGACCGTTATGCTTACATGTATCATTCGGTAAATTAAAGTAATTTCTTAGTAAATACTGGTAATTATGAAGTTTCATGCGCGTTTTAATTAAAATATATTTAAAATTAGTATTTTATTTACCCGCTTCTTTAACAACGTATGATTGGTAAAATCAAGCAGTGGTGCTTAATATGATTGTATCGAATGACAATAAATAAATAAATTAACAATGCTGCTGGAAAATGATATATAAGTTTTTCGAAGAATTGTATATTAATATAAAGTCTATATTATACGAAGTTGTTTCAGATATTTATAATTATTCCTAAATTTAATAAGATTGGAAAGTTAGATAAAAAGCACCACTGTTCAGTTGGGTTAAAATAGGTGGATGAGGGAGGCCGCGTGTAGCAAAACATTGTAGCAAGGTTACCTGTTAAAGGTACAAAAGTATTTATTACATTGTTATGTATTAATTCAAATAATTCATAAAAATGAGCAAAGTGATTGAAAAGAAACATAAAATGACTACACAGAAATCTGCTGTGCATAAAAAATCCGCAAAGAAACGCATGTCTATGAAGACGTTGTATGATCCAAAATTTACTGTGCCTTTACATAAAAAACGAAGAAATGAATATGATCCGAAAGAAGAAGCCAGGTAGAGTTCTAATAAGATTTACAATAATATAGGTGTTATTTGAATCTATGTATTAAATTCTAACAAATTTTTTTATAGATTAGAAAGAATCGTGTTTGGAGATCCAAGTGATATTATAAACAATTTATTAAATGACGAAGACGAATTAGACGCAAACGAAAGTGTTAGTGTCAACAACCATGATAATGATTCTGACGTACTAAATGTTGAAACTGTTGATGCAACCAGTCAAAGGAAAATAGCATGGATAGATGAAGAAGATGAACAATATTCGTATGTACTACATTATATATAATTATTGATTGAACTATTATTGCTTAATCCAGTTATAATTTTACAATTATTTTTCATATTAGAGCACGGACAGCTGCACAGCTACAAAATCGAAGATTACCAGCTAGAATATTAGAGAAATCGTATAAAGATATTTTGCATACGAAACATAGTCATCTAGTAGGCACACCAAAGTGGGCTACATTAAAAAATTTAGAAGAAGATAAGGATGATTTAGATACCGAAATATTAAAGGTAAAAATATGATGTCATTTCAGTTTGGATTATATCTAATATTACATCATGTTTTTTCAGCATAGCTGTCATTTGGAAAAACCTAAAGTGAAAAATTTACCTAAGAGTGTAATTGATATAAAAGCTTTGAATCTGATCAATAAAGAAACACATTTCGAAGGACCAATTATATCCAGTGTAGAATTTCATCCATCTTCCACTGTAGCCTTGGTTGCTGGCACATCTGGAACATTGTCCCTCTTTCAAGTAAGTAATTACATTTTAAATAAATATATTCGCACTTCTTAATAGAAAATATATTCAGTGATCACATAATTATAGGTAGATGGTATAGAAAATAATAAACTGCATTCAATGCAATATAAGAAGTTTCCTATTAATGTAGCAAAATTTTTAAGAGATGGCACAGAAGTTTTAATTGGTTCTAAATACTATCCATATTGCCATTCCTATAATCTTATGAGTGGAAAAACACGTAAAATACCATTACCACATGGTGTTACTAATATGCCGGTTTGTATAGTTACATTTTTCAAAGTATACTTATTCATAGTAGCTAACACTTTCCATATAATCATTTAGAATTGTGAAGTATCGCCAGATGGGAAGTTGTTAGCTTTTTGTGGTCGATTGGGAGAAATTTATTTATTAACAAGTTCATCCAAAGAACTTATTGGTACTTTGAAAATGAATGCAAGGTGCAGGGCAGTATGTTTCACACCAGATAGTAAATCACTTATTACACATGGTGGTAAGTATTATGTGTATATTTCTGCTTTTTAATCTTGTATATTATATTAACAATTGCATTTTTATTTTGTTATGAACAACTGTAGATGGTTCTGAAATGTACGTTTGGGATGTAAATAGTCGTTCATGTATACATCGTGCTATAGATGATGGATGTTTGTCTTGTGCATCTATTGCAGTTTCTCCAAGTGGTCAGTTTTTGGCAACAGGTAGTAAGGAAGGTGTTGTTAATTTGTATGATACAAAAACAGTGTTGCAAAGTAAGGATCCTGTTCCTTTAAAAATTTTTCTGAACCTTGTAACATCAGTTACTAGTTTAAAGTTTAACTCTTACTCCGAGATATTAGCAATGGCTTCTGATAAAAAGAATAATGCATTTAAAATGGCGCATTTACCGTCGTTCACTGTCTTTTCAAATTTTCCCACACTTCAAACAAACCTAACAATGCCAGAAGCCATCAACTTTTCTCCAGGTAGTGGTTACTTAGGTATTTCCAACAGATCAGGTTCTGCTTTCTTGTATAGATTAAAACATTATGGAAATTATTAAACATCGTGTACTTTGTGAAATACATATAAATATTAAGATTTTTTTAATAAAATATTTAATTATTGATGTTGGCATTCTATTTAGACAAAACATTTTATGATCAAACAGAGGTGGAATGGGAATTGATATATGTTAACAATTATTATTTACTAATACATTAAGATACATATACCTACCAGTGAAAAATAATGTTAGTTTATTTATCTCTTTGTTTTTAAATATACATAGACAAACGAATTTCTATGAACTATCTGATGAAATATCTGTACCATGTAAAATTGAGTAAACAATTTTTTTTATATATTTTATTTTAAAAAACGTGTTAAAAATACTAGATAAATAATACATTTTCGTCTGTATATCACGTTCATCATTTACTTATACTTTTCAGGAGTTCTCGTGTATTTATTTTAATGTTTGTATACCATGTATACAAAGCTACAAACTAATATACTTCTTGATATTTGAAATGAGAAGAGATTATGATACTCTTTTACTCAGAAAATATAGAAATCAATTGCGATTACGTTTTTATAGAAGTTATTATGAAAAAAGAATTTAATAATCCTTCTCTTACAAGGAAACCTTACAGTTGGAATGTCGAAAAGTTTACCACAATAATTAATTGAGACATTTTATCAAATAAAAAGGTTTAGACAATAAAAAAGTACAGTTAAGAAGTTTAACCTAACATTTATTATAGCTGAAAAATATATGTGATATGTCTAATAATCAATATAATAATTGGTATTATAATGAACAGAAAGTATTTTTCCTTATAATGTATTAGTTTCGTATGTACTATAATTCTATTTTAATTTCTTTTAATGTAAACATTGCCGTGGTGATTAAAATGTAAAATGAGATCGTTATTACCTAATACTACATGAAGCTTTAATCAAAACGAATAGGAAATCAAGTAAAAGTAAAAACAAATAAATGAAGAAGAAATAGTGTAGAAATTCACAAAAACCCCTCAACTGAAGGGAACGTATTTTGAACTCGGGATCTTTTGAATATGAAACCATCGTTTTACCAAATCCGCTATTTCACCTGTTGAGAATATAACGAATAAGTAAATGTATTTGACGATCATAAAATTAAAAAGTTAAATATTTTTATAAATAATGCGTATTGGCGAAAACGGTGGGATACGTGTTAATTTATTTTTACCCTAAATTAATCACAAAAAGTTGGATTAAAATTTTCGACATCCCAGTTGTAAGGTCTCCTTGTTAGTATTTGTACTAAAAATTAATAGTAAAGCGGTATCACTTTTTAAAAATTTTACTAATAAAAATAGCATTACAAAATAATATCTATAAACAGAAAACACGTTTGTAATGATGTAGATAAATAGCTTCCATAGAAGCATAACTACCTCCTTTGGTCGGTTTAGATTTTTATTAAAAAAATCATAAAAGTATATTTTATAATGTGCAGTACACATAGATATGTATACACATATATTTTTTAGTGACAAAAATTGTATTACAGATATATACGTGTATACATACACATATGCACGCGTATGCCTTTATAAAGCATATTTTCTTGCATTTTTATTTGCACAATCATTTGGTATATGATTTTTTATCTTTTTCATTAACGTTTCCCATGATTTCCAACCATGATTCTGAAGATGTTTCAACTTCTGCGTACATATACTTACATACTTAATAATATCATTACACTTTAGCTTATACGCGTACAAAATATTTACTACGGTATGTACAGAACTCCGGCATTCCAAGTCATTAAACAAATCTTTTTAAGTCTTCGTCTCTTCTTTTAATTTTGAAGTTTGTAAGTTAATTTGTTCAGTTTCTATATTCCTTTGGTGAATAGGTGTGAGGAACACTAGCTATTGGTCCCCCGTTGTCGTCGCAAGGGCACTGGTATCTCCACTACTACTTTCTACTATAAGCATTACAGTTTCAGCAGCACCCCTTACACATTCCACTTGATGTCCTGCCCAATCTTTGCGTTGACAAAATGTTGAACAATATGGTGTTCTCCTACATAAAGAACACTCTGCAAATGCTTCTCTGTCGCAATTAGCGCACTGAAGAAAAAAGAAAAAAGAAGATGAAAAATTTGATACATTTTGTGGATGGTATTTTTAATAGAACTTAAAGCATTATCTTTATATATTACTTTTTTGTTATGAGTATCCGATGCTGGTTGTAATCCAACAGCTTCAATGACATCTCCTCTACCTCCTAGTTGGGCTACTAGTGCTTGCTCCCTTCTTTGTTGTCTGTTTACCTCCTTAGCTTCTTCTAAGGTTCTTCTAAATTCGTAAGCTAGTTTTAACATTTTATTTGACATTTCGTCGAGTTTTTTAAAGATATCATCGATCTGTCCATTTTCTGACTGATGTACATTTTGAACTACTCCATCTTGATCTTGTGGTTGCTGTACAACTAAACCATCTGTTGAGACAAACTGTGGCCATACTTCCTTATCAGGTACAACAACTTCACTGTCACTTTCATCATTATTGCTCCCATCGCGGGAATTATCACTTTTTATTTTTCGTGTTGGTACATCTCCGTCTGATGTATCCCTGGCTCTTTTCCTACGCTTGTAAGGCGTAAACAATCGAACTGGTCCTGTCTGTAAAATTTAGTATAATCAGAATACCAATTAAAATTAATAATAAATCAATTGAACATACTTACAGCACTATCATCATCGCAACATGCTGCACAAGTGCAAGAGGTTGCATGTGGCTTTAAAATTTGCTCATCAATTAGAGTCTGTAAACTTCTGCCACCGAATCTAATACTACGTTTCCAATCTTTACTCGAAGCTCTTCCACAGAGTGCCTCAAACTCACTTGGAGTATACCAGTCTTGTCCAAGTTTAATACATCTCCCTCTAGCTCCAGATCCAAATCTGCTTTTATGTAACTCTGCATTTGTATTTTTACACCTGACAGGCAACACTGCCAAATTAGCGGATTCCGACCAACTGCATATTTGTTGAGTATTCGCTGTGGACACATGTATTTGCTCAGATTCATGTTCCTCTGTACTGTTCTGAATTACTATGTGCGTTGCCTTTAGTTCTCCGTTCCACCTTAAAGGATCAGTGTCTTTATCATGACGAGGTTCACAAATAAAACCGTTGTCAACACATAGCATCTGCTTGAATTGTCCCGAGCCAGGTAACTGAAAGAGAAAATAACATTCATCAAAGTGGTCTTTCCCATGAAATATTTACTGTAGAGTGGGGAGCACTGCATTAGGCACAGTATTAGGAAAACGAATTCGAGCGATTCAACTGCCATGTTAATGAATAAATCAAATCAAACAACAGTGAAAGGAACACGTGTCTTCGCGTTGCAGCATGTGGACAAGCGTAGTTGTATATGTTTGCATTCTGCGTGTACACCGTGCACAACTACCGAGGCTCGCGTGTTGCGAGTAGAAGGTAAAATCCAACCCCACCACGCACGCCATTCAACAATCATTCAACGAAAAAGGGATTGTCGAATATTAATATAATCGGTGGCCTTCTCAGCGGTGTCAAGGAATGGATAATATGAATGAAAAGGTTCTCGTTTCGACCGACCTGCAACTGATCCGAGGTGATGACGTTGAAGGTCGTGCCGTTGGTTGAGTTCGCTACACCGATGATAGAACCGACAGGCAAAGAAACCGGTACCCCGACTCCTGGAACACCAGGAACACCCGGTACCGAAGTGACGCTCGCCGTCACCGCGACGGGATGTGCCTCGTGTTCGGTCGTTAGGGCGGACGCCTCCTCGGTCTCGCTCGTCAACGGTTCGGACATGTCCGGTAGCACGGCGACACTTTCCGATGTTTGACTCTCCTCCATTTCGGCTGTTCTCGCCTCTCGCGCACACTATGGCGTCAGCGCACGCTCAACACAGCGCCACGATTTTTTGATAGCCGCTGCGATTCCTCGCGACGCAACGGAACCGAGACTTCCTTTGCTACGACGGCAGCCGTTACAAAGTAACCACGATCGAATTGAAATTACAAGTGCCACGATCAACGAATGCAACGTTAGATAATCGTAATCTCATTATTTTTTCCGCTACAATTCGCAGGTTTGAATGTTTTCTCCGTTTTCTACGGTGTACATTACGGGTACGAGTTGTCTCCCGATGTCGAGTGCCATCTTTACATACGTCAGGCAGCGCTCTGTTTGAATTTTCCATTGAACGCTTTCGACGGCAGATCGAACGCGATCCGTATAATATTCTCAAGGATTCTTATCTTTGTTTCCCTCGTTAAAAGGATGCAGAAGGTATCGATCGGAACAAGAGTGAAGAAGTGTTGAATTTGGTAAATTCACGTGGAACAATATCTCGCTCGTAAAGGGGATCTCTAACCTATCTGTGTGCCGGAGTGAACCGTTAATTTCGAAAAATTACGTTTCGGCAATTTATCATATTTGTCGGTACGTCGACCGTATAACTCATTCTTGTTTCATTGATACAGTTCTCAGATTGTTTGTCGTTCATTATGTACTCGGAAACGGGCAGATCCAACCATGATACGCAGGGGATAGATAATTCAGAAAAAGTCGAGGAAACAGTTGTGTTAGGTATATACTATCGATCGATTTCAAGAATATTGAAGTATACAGAAAAATAGATTTCATTGTATCGAATGTTTTCCAGAAAATTTACTCGAGTTGAAAGAAACAGTATCTCCAGAAAAAGTGAAAGAATTGTCAACGATCGGTACGCAGACCCCTCTAACGTTGATCAAAGTAACTGTAACGTCGTCGTCGGTGCGTCGGCAATTTATCGACAGTGCAGCAACACCGACGCGGTTCAGTTCTGTAACTGTCCACGATTACTTTCACGGATCCCGCGAAAACGTAAAGTCTTTTACAAAGCGACATATGTATTGCATGTGCATTGCTTGTTCGATTATTTCTCGAATTTTCATCGAACGCAGACCCCGGCCACGCTTAGCCGCGAAGTCACGACGCAAGCAACACCTCCTCATCCGTTATTGATGCCTAGATCGTCGCGGGATACTCTGCAAATGTCTGCCTCGTTTTCCTCTTTCAAGTCCGACCAAAGAAACGAGGTTCTAACCGTGACGACGGATTACGGAATACCCTCGCCAAATGCGATTAACGAATCTGGTACACTTTGTTAACGTTCCCTTTTATTTTACAATTTCATTCCGTCGCGACCCGTTACAATCGTTTAACCTTTGTATATTTCGTGAAGACGATCAAGACGTACGTTTATCCGTGCAAGGTTCGTATAGGCATTCGGATGCAATAAATCCGACGTCGAGTAATCGAGAAGCAACCAGAAGTATGTTGTCAACGCTGGAAATAGACCAGCAACGATGGAGCTTAACTAGTTGTTTACATTGCGCGTCGAGCGTGGATGATGAAGTACTCAAATTTAAATACTATAATCAGTGTTTCATAGCATTAAACCGTGCAGAGCAGCAGAATAATATGCCAATTTTTGAAAGGTAAACGAGAAAGGCATTGCAAACGCTAGAGTAGTATTTATTACGCCTTTTTTATTTACCTTCCAAAATTGAGAGATTATTCAGCTGGACTGTGTAAGATAATGGAGATTGATTACTGGATTAGCCAGAGATGTATGCTCGTATAAGAGATGCGCCACCGACGTATTCAACGATATTCGGTCGTACGACACGTAATTGGAGTCCATTTCGATCAACGAATCAGTCGTCTTTCATCGCTCCGATACCACCTCCTAGTTATGCCCAAGCCCAAGGGATTTGCTTCGCGTCCTGTTCAGCGGATCAGCTGCTTTCACGTAATAAAATATCCTATTCTCCGGAAATTGTTACAGACGACAGATTGCTAGTGATGTTAAAACATACCTCTCCGATTTACAATAATTTTCTTTCTCTTTTTCTTTTATAGCAAACGCGAATCGACTTTGGACCACAAGACCCACAACTGCCTTCTGTCCCCGTTGCACTACACTCGTCGTCACGACTGTAGAAGTTCGCCAGTCCATAATTACTCACGTTACCGCTTTCGCGCTTTTCTTATGCGGGTGCAAATCAATTTACAAACGTTTAACACGTTCCGTGTCGCGTGCGGCGTATACGACGCTGAACCTTCCGTTCAGGCCGTTTGGAATTTTCATTGAGAAACGAAGGATTTTTGAAAAATTTATTGTTGAGTTAAATGTAGGCGTCTTAACTCCTTGCTCTATGATCTATTTTTCAACTATGACTGATACAACAACTTTGCCGATAATAATTTATTGAAAAAAGAGAAATATTTATCATTACATTGTAGGGTAAACGTAGATGTAGAATACGCATGTTATTTTATTTTACAATATTATTTTTCTGTTGTTTATCATTATGTTGTGGGGTAAACGTAGACATAGAATACGCATAGAATAACAGAAAAATAATATTTCATTCGAATTCAAAGGAATTGAATAATATTCATGTTTGTTAGATCCTATTTAAAATGTTCACTACGAGTCTTACACGTTATTGTATGGCAAGGGGTTAATATCATCTATACTGCGTTTATTTGATTTTATTTAATTGTAAAAGTGTGGGTTGTATACGCCTCACGCGGCCTGAACGGAGAGTCTTAAAAAACGGCAAGCTACATACATATACACCACGCGTAATTGTGACGTTTCATTTGTTTCAGATGCTGGCCATGTTGCACGTTGCCGTACTGCATGAACACTTGCAAAAATATCGACCATTATTGTCCTGCTTGTCGCACGCATCTTGGAACCTACAGACCGTGTTGACCAATGCTTAGAAAAGTACTTGGAAAGTTGACTTTCTCACTTATCAGCCGACGCATCTAATACGTTCCGCCGTTAGAGAAATGTTTTGTAGTGCTTGTACAAAGAGAGATGAAAAGAGCATTATTTATAAAGATGTTATCGCTGCTTAACGTCAATGAATCTTCCGAAAGCATTGTCGCTGTACGAAGTAAGCCTGCGTCGCTGACGTGCTCACGGTTGCATCGATAGGGGCCGGGAGTCACTTAATTGCCGGTGTGAAAGTGAAATTGCTATCTCTTCACGAGGACTAAGTACAATGGCCGAGTGTCATAAACGTATTGCCAATGAAATTTCTTGACTTTCCCCTCGTTTGTTAACGTAGCGTCTAGATTCAAGTAAAATGCTTCTAGCTGTCCTTCAATTTGCCGCGTGATATACAGACCGTGTAAACGTCTCCTTGGGTATATTATCTTTTCGCACCTTGTGTTCTCTCTTAGTCATCCCACAACTATCGTTGGTCTGGCCCTAACGAATCCATTGCGATTAGAATAGCAACAGTGTCGAATCACTGCGTCCTTTTTCACTCGACGATGCGTAGTTACCATTTCCTTGTGTTACTGCTGTACGCGATCACGGCGTGCGTCGACACCGACGCATGGAGTACTTTAAGAAGATTCACAAGTTTCTGGCAAGGAAACACCATCCGACCGAATGAAACTTCATCGAGAGATTCATCGAGGAATGCGTTCCAGTCGACCAATGTCCAGACCGGTACACCGAATTACATCGCTCGAGAAAAACGAAGTAAGCGTCCCATCGTTGTTTCTTAGCACATTGCGCGCCGGCCTCATTTAACCCTTTGCACTCCGAAGTTTTTCACTAGAAATATTTCAACATTTTCTGATGAGATGAAAACGATATTTTGTAAAACCAACTCGACGAGAAATTTACGCGAATTGACGGACAAAGCTATTTTACGTCAATATTTCTCAGATTGATGCATTATATGAAGTATAATATTACATATCAAACTTTACAGCTTCACTGTAGGAAATCAACTGGTGACTCAGAGTCACCTCCCGAGTGCAAAGGGTTAATTGCTAGTTCTACATGAATGTAACATTTTAGATACGTATAACACCGACCCAAAGTAAAATTACAAAATCGAATTCCTTGTTCTTTTCAGTAAGTTAGAAATTTTGTTTTTGATTGATGTTTAGAGATGTATCAATATAGCCACCGACGCCTGCGTTTCTAGTAGTTGAAATTTAGCCCGCGTACAATGTGTTAACAATATTTCATTTATTGGAATCATTCTCTCTGGTTGTCTCGCACAGTTTTCCCGTTGTTCACCGTGGTGAGATTTGACAATAACATTTGTGTCGGGTTGAGCGGCGAGAATGGAACCTGTATAGCAGCATCGGAATGCTCGCAACGCGGCGGCGTGTCCAGCGGAATTTGCGCTAACGGCTATGGAGTTTGTTGCATTGGTAAATATATCTTTTTATTTTTCAATAGTTAATGGTATTATGATATCAGCAGAGAATACACATACAAGACAATGCTGTTCATTGATCAAATTATGGTCATTTGTCCCCACTCTGTACCCTTAACTTGCGCGCCATGTAATATCAAGGTCACGCAAGGTCACTAATACATACTTCATCGTATCAGTAACTGTATCCTGCGGCGAGACGACTAGCAATAACAATACCTATTTCGTTAACCCGAATTATCCGTCGAATTTCGATGGCACGGAATCTTGTCAGCTTAACCTCGTTAAATCCCATCCGGCTGTATGCCAATTCAGGTGAGTTTGCAACTGCATTTACAGAGTTTAACACGTCCAGTGTCACATGTATCACGTATGGTGCACGCCAATTTCTGTAAGAAAATATTCTTAAGGGAGACATGGTCACGGTGTATGTAATATCGATGGTGGTACGTGTTACAAAGCAGCGTGAACATAAAGGAACAATATCAAAATATATAAAAATGACGAAAAACTCGAATGTAACTTAATATTTTATTAAAAAAGTCAATGCAGTCCATAAGCAAAATATAACTGAAATTTCCGTGGCACGGAACGTGTTAATCGTTCGACGAAATCATTGAAGACGCATTCTACTTCTAGGTTGGACTTCATGCAGTTCAATATAAGGGGACCAGAAACCACGAACAACCAGTGCATTTATGATCAGTTCATCGTGTCAGGGGGGAACCCGGTACCCACTATTTGCGGTATCAATACTGGAAATCACAGTAGGTAGCAGCTGAACACGTTCGCTAGCAGCGCTTACTTCGTTGACGGTCTCCTCAATTATATTTTCTTCAATCCACTAAATCTTGGAAAGAAAATCTGAGAAAAATGAAAGTGAAACGAGTGATTGAGCTCCTAAATATAATGTCGTAGTTTATAATTTCTAACAACAATACCTATAGGACTCATTTCATTTTCATTCTGTAAAATATAGAATTACGGCCGTCAGAAATACGTGACGCTGGTAGCGAACGTGTTAAACAGTAACCGACTCGACGAGTAGTTTGTTCGAGACATTAAAGATCGGTATCGTACAGTTTACATTGACGCCGGTATCGGGCAAACGAATCCTGTCACGTTAACATTCGTCACGAGCGGAAATTCTTTCACCCGATCCTGGAAAGTCCGGGTGTCTCAGATACGTTGTGACACCATATACAGAGCGGAGGAGGGTTGCTTGCAATATTTCACCGGGATATCCGGTCAAATAAAATCGTTCAACTACGATCCAACCACCGGATTGCAATTGTCGAATCAGGAATACAGTATTTGCATTCGAATGGAAAGAAACTTTTGCGGGATTCAATACATGGCGTGCCCGGCAGATGGTAAGGAAGATGATCTGTATGTAGATAACTCGGTTTTCAAATGATCTATCGATATTTCCCATAATTCGTTGACGCGCGATAATTAGGCCTGACCGTGGTCTCGTCCAGTTCATCGCCAGCTTCGCAAATGATACGTAACAATGCGTTTACGTTAACTGGAAACACGCAAGGGACGCAAATCGCTTCGATGACCGGAGCTGCCTGCCAGACCGACTGGTTAACGATCCCGTGCGCGTCGAATTTGGGTAGATTACCGACCGCTACGACGATGTGCGTAGATCGAATTTGCGGCGGAACTTTCAACGCGGATAGTCAGAGCTTGAACTCGTCTTCCGTAGTTAGTGAGTATTTCCTTATTCGTATAAACTACTTTTGTTCCTATAATAACCGTTTGAGTGCCACGCGCCGCTTTCGCGCTCTTCAGATTTCATGTCGAAAAAACCGAAACGCGCTCAACATTTCAGACGCATGTACGCTACTTTTGTTGTATATAAGTGATCCAAGTAATACATTTTGTATTTCGTTGTTATCTATTATAAATTAACCCTCTATAGGCCGAATTTTGTTTCGTGATTATAATAAAATTTATGCAGTATGAAATTAATAAATATCAACATATAAACATAAATTAACAATGTATTCAGTAGTTTTAATAATTTTATTGAAACGAATATATTTTGTAACTTTGAAGTTACAATGACGTTGAACGTAAATGCCTGTGTGTACAAAAGTTTAAGTTAATTAATTCTTTAATGTTGTTCGTCATTTTGCAATAAAAAATTAAATAGATCAATTTAACCCGGTACATTGATGTGTGACTTCAAAGTCACACGAGCCTATAGAGGGTTAATATATATACATAATAGTATTAACATAGATTAAGATACAGAACAAAAGGAGCGCTATCGCGCAGTTCGGCCTTTCCTCGACCGTGTTTCTTTAAAAACCTCTGGTACTCAAACGGATAATAATGAAAATACTAATAATAATCTTTCCTTAGGCACAGTGAAGCCGTTCAGATTAATTTTTCACACGGACAGTACCGAAGCACCGAACGACGTCGGGAATAGGGGATTTTGTTTGAATTACGTGCAGCAACCTTGCACGACCAAGTTACGATGAGCTTCTCGTTCGCTGTCTTTATTCGGATCCCGTGTATATACAGGTAAACCAAAGAACAAGAAGAAACAAACTAAAGAACCCAACGCTAAAGAGAAAGTACCAGTTAAAATAGTTTTGTAAACATACACGTACTTTATTTAATCGCGATAGTCCGCGAATGTTATCAGATCAACGAGAAGTCACATTATATTAACATAACATAGTATCACCAGTAGAGACCCGAAGCATATAACAGAGAGGTAGGTTTAAGTTTTATCCTTAGGAGATACTGAGTTTCAGTTGAATATCTCGGACAGAGAAGGACGTAAAAGTGTGTTAAGAAGTACATATACAATCTACATGATTTAATCGCCGAAGTGTTCATGTATCGTGTTCGTTTGGTTACCATTATCTAAGATGAACTCTACTTTCCTCGCTTATTTGGATAATATCATAATTGACGCACACATACACACGCACACACACACACCCACACGACGAGTGGAAATGAACACGTTTCTCAACATCTTAGAAATGTTTCTTTTTTAAAAACGCATCGTCGCTAAAAATGCAAGTTCTCCTCGGCCCTCGAGATTCCTTTGGTTTTCCATTGAACGCATTTAACACATTTAATACAGATCCGCAATCCGATTACGATGATGAGAGTGAAAATAAGAAAATGATGATTTTTGTACGTTGTTCGACACTCCATCGTTAACATTTTGTATCGCCGTCTTAATTGAACAACGGGCGTGCCTGTTCACGGTGCACGCCCCGTATTTATCGAATATTCTGCCTATACCTAGATCAAGTCTTGTTACAGGCCGTTTGATAGCTCTTCGAAAAACAGGGACAACGATCGTCGGACATTTCAACCGATCGCTCGAGACGATTACGTTTTGTGCCAACAAGTACCCTTCATCCTCGCAATTCGAACAATGTAGGCTACGATCGTGTAAATGGACGATCCGTTGACTAGATTTGATACAAACGGGTTCTTCTTTCTGCCCCGGATTCATCGTAAAAATTACAGTCCGAATGAACAATATTTTATTGTCATACGTAACGCAATGGAAATAAATTTGTAATACGATCAATTCCGATCTCGAATAGCTTTCAATCTCGAGATTCGATGCGTCATTGTTTTACAACGTTATTAACACCTTGTTGTTAACAAGTAGGAAAGAACTTTCTAATATTCAACATCGAGTATTTGATTAATCAGCAACGGGAACGCTATCGTTCGTTTACCAGAATATGCAGTGAGATCAACAGTTATCATAGTTCTCTCTCAGGTTTCTCCACTATGTTGAAACGGACCATTAAACGTTTATCCTCTTTAACTACAAGCTATTCTCCGTTAGTACGGATTGCCGTTGTATATTACAGGTCGTAAGTGAATAGAAGTTAAACAAGTTGTAAAAAAATACGTGAGAGAATTAGAAAAGTATATAGTGTTCTAAAATTGGTCGATAGTTGAATAGTGCACGGTCACGGTGCGAGAAGTTTCTTTTTTTTGAGCGTTTTCGAATAGAAACACGTAGAAAAATGGTATCGATCAATTTCGTTCAGAAAGTGTGTCTGACTTTGTAGTCTGAAAGCGTGTGTCGCAACATAGCAATTCAATGGAATCGAGTGTTGCCGTAGTTCCGAAATCGTTCGAAGGATGCTTAACTCGTGCGTGTCGCTTCAGTACATAATAAAAACAAACAAACGAAGAGTTAATTTCTTTTGAGCGTACAAAGACTGCGATGACGTAGGGTCATCTCGCGATCTTCCGTTTCACGCGAAACGATTAGATTGAACGGACCCTGTTCCGCGATTAGGACTCCTTCGTCGAGGACGCTTTCATGAAGTAAGTCATCAGGTCGATAGGCAGCGGGAACACGATCGTTGAGTTCTTCTCCGCGGAGATGGTGCTCAGAGTCTGTAAAACGACGGAGTGTGAGAAGATTTAACCGCCGCAAAACACTTCAGAGCTTTATGCATCGCTCATTCTTTTCTAGCAAAGATAAAAAGGAACGATTACTTCCTTTTTGGTATTGCGATTATCAGGTTACACTATTATCTATTTACGCCATTGAACATTGTCATTCGACGTCAGTTGTCCGACAAATTATAATTGTCTCCAAGTAATTTGGAAGCTCCGGTCGTCGATGACCACCGTGGCAGTCAACGTGTTAATCCTTTGCACTCGAGAATATTTTTCTCAACAAATATTCATTATTTTCTGATGAAATATCAATGATTAGTTTTACAACTAACATAAAGAACTACCTTGTATAAATTAAGTGACAGAACTAGTTTATTTCGATGTTCCATGTGTCGATACATTATATAAAATTTGATAGTGAATTCTAAATTTGATCATTTTGTTCGATCAAATCAAATGGCGATTGAAAGGCGCCACTCGAGTGCAGAAGGTTAACACGTTAAACGCCACGAAAATCTTGGCCGTTTTTTTGTAGAGCTATTCTTTATCAACAATCTATTATCAACTTCGTTACGTTATTGAACATTTTGATTCGACATCGGTTATCTCGCATGTTACGATTGTTTTCAAGTAACTCAGAAGCGTCAGTCAACTGTGACTGACATGGCGCTTAACGTGTCGACATTAGGTTTACAGAACGCGCCAATTAGACGCGTATCGGATTTTATAAACACTATTTAGTATATATTCACGTCGACTTTGATTGATGCAATTCTACCAGTATGTACTTGAATTATTTGTTTTGAAGCCTCGAAATTCAAAATCCGAATGAACGAACATAAATGTTTCTAGAAGCAGTAGAATAAACCGTAAAGCTATCGAACATTTAATACGATTAACACGTAATCCCTACAAAAATTGTAACAATAGATTACTCTCGTTATCTTCAGACATTCATTATAGTGTTCGAGTGAATATCTTCAAAATCATTTCGAATATTTAATGCTTTTAACATTTAGCCAACCGAATGGAGAGGTCTCCCACTTTACACTTAGCAACGTATTCCCTTTTAGTCTGTTTATCTTTTCTTTTGTTGTTTAGTAAGTCTTGAAGTGGGATTATTTGCAATTCATCAAATTGCGGTTCTCGTTTGTACAAAACTCAGTTTCTAACCGAATTAATTTAACGAGTTCAATTGAAGATAATGGAGGAGGTTGTAGTTATAGTTAAGATATCAATAATCGCGAAACAAAACAACCGGGACCAGTCATTTTGATCGGTATAGTTGTTCTAGTGTTAATAGTCCTGATCGACTGTGTTTACCTGCAGGTAACGTAGCTGCAACGCGGCAGGAGAATCTCCTATCACCTCGGAAGCCTCCCTCAACGCGCGGCTGGCCTTCTGTTCACCTTCGGCAGCGATCACCTGCGATCAACGCGAGTACATTATATCCGTGAACCGATGAGATTCGAGAAGATAACGAAACGGAAAGGCAAACCTTCGCGCGAGCCTCGCGAGCTGCTTCAGCTTCCGCGGCCATGGCTCTCTGCAACTGGATAGGTAGCCTCACGTCTTTGCTGCGAAACATTGAAGAATGCAATGATTTTCTTAGTAGAACTGTATATTTTAACCGTAATTTTATTTGACAAGAAAGAACACACAGTTTGTTATAAACATTGCAAGCAAAACACGTTCCGCGTCGAGCTGTTTTCGAACAAGTGTCATTACATCCCTACGGAACGTGTTAACGCGTTGAATGCCGCACGATTTTATAAAGCGAAGTACACAAAATAGGAAAAATATGATATTGAATTATTCGATTGAATTGCATTATTGTTATTGTTGCACGTTCTTCTAGTTGAATGTCACGAAATTAGGTAGCATTATTTGTAATATAGAAATGTTTCCAAATAATCGTCGTTTCATTGAGTGAACCATAGTAATTCAATTTGGGTGGGGGTCACCGGTGACCCCTACGACATTCAACGTGATAACACTAGGTTTACGGGCATTTATTGTACATTTCATTTTATTATTCCTAAAAGAATTGATGCTCGTTTATTTAGATTGTGGAAACTGGAGATTTGAAAGTAGGTAATTGGGGTACATGTCAGTGTGATTGCATCAATCAAAATCGGCGTAAACGTTTACAAAATTATATTTCTAAAATCCAATATGCGTCAATTTGACGCGTTCCGTAAACCTAGTGTTCTGCGACAGCCTAAATTGCATATCGTACTTTCACGGACCAGTGTGTCCTCAGTAACAAAAAAACTATGTAAAGCGATAGACGGATTTCGGTACTCACATTTCTACTCGCTCGACTTTGATTCCCCACGTGTCGGTAGCCTCGTCCAGCGATACCTGACGGTACAATGGTACACGTGACTGTTTGCAATCGTTATCTCGTCGCTTTAGGGGATCAATTAACCTTTTCAGATCTGTGTTTCCCAACCTTTTTTGTGCCATGCCCCACTTAAGCCTTTCTAAAATTCTTATGCCCCCCTATGTAACATATATACAATTTTTAATATTATATTGTAATATTCTTATAATATTTATTATAATATTTTTGCTATCTTGTTTACATGTGCAAATATTGTGAAATATATGAAGTGATATTTCAAATTTCAAATTGCCCCCCTTAAAAATCAAATTGGCAACGGCCCTACGTTGGGAAACACTCTTAGATACTATACGCTACTATACTGATTTTCATGTGTACCATCGTTTTGAACAGTACGCCATTACAACGGCTCAACTCTTTCTGTCATCGATAGCTGTGCACATTATAGTCTAATCCTTCGGTTTCCAACCTTTATATTACTACGCTTCCCTAAAAAGAACATTTTTTCCACGCCTCCCTATCTTTTAACAGATATAATAATATAGACATAAATAATAGTAACTTTATTACAAAATAAACCTTACTTCACTGAATTTCTACTGTTACGTTACGATACGAAGTTTATTTATTTGTAGATAGTATGGTATGAACATTAATTCTTTATTAAAAATTGTTGCGCCTCCCAAGTTAGAAACCGCGGATCTAATTTACCATAATTGCACAGTGGAACGTTCAGTCTCAAATCACATATTTATGATTCGCAGACCGCGTGAAACCTTGCCGTACAGGAGTGTAGCTTCGTGACTAGTCCGCCGTAGCTTAACACGTTCACTGTCACGAAAAACATCAGTGTCTTATGTATCACTTATTCCTTTGTATCAAAGATAAAATGGGCGAATTATTAATTATCTGCTACCACGATTTCTACGGTACACTGTTACCTAGTTCTATACGCTATTGAACATTCTCGACGTCAGTTGTCTTATGAATTATAATTGTCCCCAAGTGATTTGGAAGCTCCGGTCACCGGTGACCACCGTCGCAGTCAACGTGTTAACCCCTTGCACTCCACGATATTTTTCATTACGAACATTCATTATTTTCTGGCGAAATATTAACATTATTCGCTACTTACATACAGAAGCATCTAGCATAAATTATGAGATAGAATTCTTTTATTTCCGTTTCATATGTTAACCCTTTGTACTCGGGAGGTTACTTTCAGTTACCACTCGATTTGACGCAGTAAAACTATAAAATCTGATCTATAATATCTAACTTTGTATAACGACCCGATACATGAAATATTGGAATAAAATAGCTTTGTTCCTCAATGTACTTGTGATTTCCCATCGAGTTAGTCTCAAAGATTATCGTCTTCGCCTCGTCAAACAATGTTAAATATTTCCAGCGAGAAACTCCCGAGTGCAAAGGATTAATACCTTATTCAATATTTTATGTTGAATTTTTTACTTTACAATTTTGCTGCGTTCAATCAAGTGGCGACTGAGAGTCGCCCCTCGAGTGCAAAGGGTTGAATACTTAAATACCTGCATGTTCCCGGAGATTGTTTCGCGCTCGCTGAGGATTTCGTGAAGCGGCCGGGTGCCCATGGTGTTCCGAAGCATGGTCTGAGCCAGCAGTCTGGTGCTGTGGTGAGCGTTCTCGACGTTCGCGATCGAGATGGTCGCGTTGTTTACGCGGTAATACACCACCGCGTCGACGGACACCGTCACGCTGTCCTTCGTCAACACCTGCGGCAACGCGACAATTAAACGTGCATCGGATTTTATAAACACAATTTGGTATATATCCATGTCGACTTTGGTTGATGCAATTCTGCCAGTATGTACTTCAATTATATACTTTGAAACTAAATACCAAAATCCGAATGAACGAACATGACTTTCTCTAAGAACAGCAGAATAAACCGTACAACGCATGCCCGTAAACCTTGTGTTAACGCTAGAACCGAGCATTTAACCCTTTGCACTCGAAAGGTGACTCTGTCACCACTTGATTTGATACAGCAAAACCATGAAGTTGAATACTTAGTATTTTAAATTAAATTTTGTATTCCAATGTGAAATATTTAAATAAAATAGCTTTGTTGCTTAATTTATCTGTGAATTATCGTTACATTAGTTTCAAACAATGTCGTCTTTATCTCATCAGAAAATGTTCAAATATCTCTACTGGAAAACTTCCGAGTGCAAAGGGTTAATACGATTGACATGTAACCCGTATAAAAATTGTAATAATAGATTATTCTATTGGAATTTACCTCTTGCGGAGGTACATCGTACGTGCGAGTCCGCAGATCGACGCGAGCGTAGTTGTCCACGCAGGGCAGGATAAAAAAGATCCCTGAAAATGGGAAGGTTTCCATTCCACGTTGAATTTCCTGTCGATTCTTTAACACGCTCGCATACTACTTCTACGTGTTCTTATATTATAATAACCATGTTTCAAATGTCTAAAATTTATATGAACAACATATCACACCAAATAATTGCAAGAAAGACACGGCCAGTGAGAGTACTTCAAATTCGAATATTTTCTTTGAAATTCTCTATTTTCTATATAGAAAATGAAACTAATCCTACAGATATAGTTAGTAAAATAAGCTACGAAATTACATTTACAGATTCAATGGCTCGTTTCAGCTTCGTTTGTTTCAACAGCGTGTTTAGAAGATTTATTGAATTGAACGGAACATTATAATTGAGAGGATCGTTGAAACAAACGCTGATAGTGAACGTGTTAACGAGACATTACCGGGTCCTTTGGCGCCACCGGACAGAAGCCGCCCTAGACGAAATATCACGGCCCTCTCGTATTCCTGTACCACCTGAAGGGAAACGAGAGGATATCAAATCACCAGTATCGCAGGTTAAACGGTCTAACCAATCGATGTCGTGATTTACAGGTAGCGCGAGCGACGCGGGAAAGCGGAAGGAGGAAGTGAATGAACACCGGCGGCGATCGCGACAAACCCGAGGGGCAAGAATAGCATCGGCGAGTGGATAATTGGTATTTTTAGATTGATAGTACACCGAGGAGGAAGCGATATCCGACGGTCTCTTACCTTGAAACAGATGAACAAGGAAAACGGCATCGTCAGGACCACGACGACCCAGGATAACGCCACGAGGATGTGCCCGCAGTTGTTGGTGTGCTCTTGTTCAACGGTTTCCGCTGAAACATTCGACGACCGTTACCATAAACAAGTTCAAACGCATCGTTTCAGTTTCAGACATAGAGCGGTGAACGTTTCCTTCGAAGAAAATCGCCGATCTTTGCGTTTTGCTGTATAACAAGTTACCTCCATCGCTGCATCGTTGGAAACTATCGCTAAGGACAGCTCCCTAGGCGTACTCTGACGCGATACCGTTCAATTAGTCGGACCCGAAGAACAAAGGGAGACCGTTAGCGTACACCGGGGATATCGGGACAAGTGTCTACTCGGCTAGAAGTTATTCGAGGATCGCTCAGCTTGGCTGCACGGGTAATCGATAGCTCATCGCGTCTGGAACGTCGCTCTTCATCCTACTTGGCAAGATTTTCGAAGAAACAACAGGTCCCTCTTTATCAGCGAGTGTGTCTAGCATGTAAGCGGGTTAGCACAGTGCTCTATAAATTTCCGAATCGATCGTTACCAGGTCGGTCAATTATTTCACATGTCTATAACGCTTCTGTCAGGCGACAAGATTAGAATCTAGTCGCTCCGTTTGTTCGCCGGTTACAATGTTAATTGTTCACGTCCGACGTTCGTTCATTCGCCGAACGCCTAACGCGTCGTTTCAACATAGAGCCGTTCTTACATTATTCTTCCAACAAACAACGAACATCCTCGCCCGTTGACACTACCGCGGTCCCCATTTCGTACGATTTAAGAGTGATAGCCGGAGATGCGTATTTATAGCGACGTTCATTTCTCCTATTGATTGTATGAATACCGTCGGTTTGCGCGGATCGATATGAACACACTGTGTGTACAACCTACATTCGAAGAACGACAGCTGCGATAGATGGAACGACGATTTCCCGGCACGGTCAATATTCGGTACCAAGCGGCTCACAGCGGACCGACGCTGATCGGAGATCGTAGCTGGTTTCCGACGCGATGACCTCTTACCGTTCGTCATCCCGATTATTGGATTCGATGCGGCCATCGAAAGTGGACCCCGCGGATCCTTCGAAGCGTCGCCGAACTCTGCTCGAGGAGGATGACTTCGGAGGAGGGTGACGGCCTGTCGTTCAACGGGGGAACGAAACGAGGGAGGTCGAACCGTAGCGTCATTCACGTCTCACCGTTCACTGAGAGCAGTCGTCTACCTGTCCTATATTTAACCACCCACGTAGCAAAGTCCTCCCTCGCTCTATTCCTCCTCCGGGCGTTCTCTCGCCCAGTCCGCTCCAATCTCTTTCTCTTCCTGTCCATCTCTTCTCGCCTCTCCTTCTCGCTTCGGTGATACTGGCATGCGCGTACCGCGCTGCTACCCCTTCCCACCCTGTCCGCGACTACCGTCATCTTCTGGACGTTGCTCCATTCCAATTTTCCTGGGCGTTCGATCGTTGTCTTCCCGAAAATCGATCGACGTCGCCCAGAGAAACGAATATAGTCTAGATCAGCGGTGTCCAACTTACTCCCATCGCGCTGGTTAATCGAAAACACCGTTGCTCTACTGTCTCTAACCCTTTGCACTTGACAGGTGGGTCTCGGTTACCATTTGATATGGCAAAATTACAAAGTGTTATATATATATATATATAGTATTAACCCTTTGCGGACGAAGACACTTGAAAGTATACAAAATTTTGAGTATACGAAGCCAAATTGTACAGATGCTTAACACGCTGAATGCCGCACGATTTTGTAGTATAAAATACTTTAAATGGAAAAAATATAATATTAAATCATTTGATTGAATTGCATTGTTATTATTGCAGGTTCATCTAGTTGAATGTCACCACATTAGTTAGCATTATTTATAATATAGAAACGATTTCAAATAATCATGGTTTAATCGAGTGAACTATAGTAATTCGATTTGGTTGGGGGTCACCGGTGACCCCCATGGCATTCAACGTGTTAACACGTTCACGCCGGCGTGTACCACCGGTGGCTTACAGTAAGATATCACGTTAGAGTGTTGGCTCATTAGACGGTGTGTAATTAGAAAACATTGCCATATAGTTGAGAATTAATTTACTTACTGATCGTTTCAATATTTTTATCAATTTTGAGAATTCAGTCGCCAAATGGGGAAGAGTGGAAATTACAGCGCCGGTGTAAACGTATTAAATGATAGGGAACAAAATAAACAACCTACTGATCTTTCGCTGTTTTAGTCATTAAATCGTTTGTATAGAACTTTGTATTGATCTCAAAAATTTGATCTCGCTGGAATGTCGACATTCGTCCTCAAAGGATTAAGTCTCGTACAACGCATCAATGTGTGAAATATCTCTGTAAAATAGCTTTGTTTATTAATTTACTAACTAACATTTTCTAATGAAGCAAAGACTATACTTTGTGAAACTAACTCGAAGAGAAATCACGTGTACATTGAGGAACAAAGCTATCTTGTTTCAATGTTTCTCAAATTGCTGCGTACGTGGCACTGTATTAACCAGTTAACTGTGTTTGACAAGTATACGCGTCATCGTAAAGCTCGACGATATTATTTATTTATTATTTTTTCACCGTACGAAATCAATCGGTGAGAGTCACCCGGAGTGCAAACGGTTAATTCGTCCGAGAGTACGTATACAACCAGATCTATGTTCGATACAAGCGGATGAAAGTCTAGAGAAAGCAACTTCCGCGAGGGAGAGTCACTAGACACTTGGTTTAGATTTAATCGGTAGCGTGTCAGCCAGAGGATCGGGACGCCGAAAATTCCCGTCGCATTCAAAGCTTACGAGTGACGTGGAACGGTATTGCACTCGAGGGAGGCAAATTCGTGCACGCGTCGCGTGCGATTGTCGGCCGCCGCATGAAATATGCGGGAGGCTGGTAAATTAGCCGCGAGACAACGGGCGGGACGCTCGTGTGTCGTCCGTTGGGAGAAAGTGGAGCGATACGTAGCGCGATGAATAAGTACGAGCAGTAGGGTAACCGTGCCATAATGGTTTATTATTCGCTGCGGATGTCCGTCGTCTAATATTTACGCGTATCGAGCCAGGCCGAGTAATATTAACGACCGCCGCGAATCGAAGATTCTGCCCCGGCCGCGGCGCGTTCCCGTTCGAACCATGAATTACGATCCATACCGGCGCTCATTCACGATTTCACGGGGAATATTCCATTTCGCGGACCCGCGCCGATCGATTCGCGCTCGCCAACGATTCGCCGGTCGCGTTTATAGCCGGCCGGTCGCAGTTCACGCGCAAGGTGAATGCTAAACGATTCAAGTTCACCTGTGTAAGGCAATGAACGGCTCCCACGAGATCGTGTGTGAAACCCTTCCGTCCGTATCCTTTGGATCTCCTTGATCTTCAACGTGAACGCTCGATCGACGGTTATTTATTGTACAGTTCGTTCCATCGTTTCTCAAGACGTTGATATTCGTTCGTTTGGATCTTGGAAATTAGACGTTTAACAGTAGACAATTAGGATACACATTAGAGTAACCATATCAATCAAAATCGATCCGAATGTTTATGAATGTTTATAAAATTCAATATGAGTAATTGACTGGTTCCGTAATTGTTATCATAATATATTAACCGTTAATATTATTATAATGTATTATCTATAATAATTATCTCAAAGTGTCTCCGTTGTAATTTTGTTATATCATATCAAACGTTGACTGAGAATCACCTCTCGAGTGCAAACGGTTAACCCTTTGCGGACGAAGAATCTTTAATCCTTTGCACTCCAGAGGCGCCTCTCAATCGCCAAACGATTTGACACGGCGAAACTGTAAAGTTTGATATTTAATATTAAACTTTGTATAATGCATCGATGTACGAAATATTGAAAGAGAATAGTTCTCTTCCTCAATGCATGTGAGATTTCTTAACACTAGGTTTACGGAACGCGTCAGTTTGACGCAGATTGAATTTTATAAACATTATTTGGTAAATGTTTCAATCGGTTTTCATTGATCCAATTACACGAATATGAATCCTGATTGTCTATTTCTACATAAACCTAATGTTAATTTAATCTAAAAAAATGTCATCTGTATCTCTTTAGAAAATATTGAACATTTCCGGTAAACAGCTTCTGGAGTACAAAGGGTTAATGTTTACTAAACCTTTAACAGAGGAAGCTAAATTATACATCGATCATTACAATTAATCATTTGTTTGCGACTTATTCTTCCGGACACGAACATTTCATCTCAAAATTTCACATTCGCCCGCAAAGGGTTAACCGGAAGCATTTCGAAATTTCTAACTAGACACAGACGATATTCTTTGAAATCAACTTAAAGAGAAATCACAAGTGAATTGAGAAACAAAGCTTTTTTGTCCCAATATTTTACATACCGATGCATTACATACAGCTCAATATTGAATATCGAATTTTATTTAGTACATGAAATCAAGTGGTGACTGAGAGTCACCCCTCGAGTGCAAAGGGTTAACATGTATAAGTCCCTCGCTAACAGCTGTATACCACTTTCCCCATTCCCCCGCCTGCCGGCACGTACACTGGTTATTGCGCGTAATGGGACGTTTGACCTTCTTTACACTTGAGTAATATTTCATACGCGACTCATACTTCGATCTCGCGAATTGAATGCCAGGTACACGTAAGCGAACAGGCTTACGATTGTTCACCGAGACCTAAATCTTTCCGTTTCCCGTTTCTAGATCCTCCGATGTGCCTGTCTCTCACTATGAACCGGAACAGCCACCGACAACGTGAAAAGAAGTTGACCGATTACTCACCGCCGATCACACGGTTCTGTATGTCGTCCGGCCGCGAGTTGATCTGTATCGTGGATCCGTTTCCATTGCTGATGTTTGCCATAGGAATGGATGTATCGGGATTTACTCGTGCCTCGAATCTCGACACCTAAACCAGCGAAACACACTTGTCGGGTGATACACGCGCGACGGAGGCGGGACGAGCGACATCGCGAGAAGAGGAGAACCGACTCCGAGACGCGCGCGGCATCCGCGGATCTACGGATTCTACTTGAAAGTTCGACCGAGGCGAACGATCAGAATTTACCTTCATCATGGTACTTCGCTACAGTTCCCTCGAGAACTGTGTTTCCGGTCCCTGGCCCGGTGATCTTAGCTACAACGCGGGATCGCGGTGCGGAAGCGTGCGCGTGTATCACACGACGTCATCGTGGTCATGGAAATGTTTGACAGTTAATTGGAATCGGGAGACGATCAGGACACGCGAAAACCGAATCGCGACGCGTCGCTGCCACCAGCCAGTGGACTTTCCGAATTCTCTGCGAGTCTCGCGAATTTTTCAGCTTATCGCGCGACTCGAATGAAAGAGGGCTGTATCGAGGCCGGGAGGTATTCCCGGATTGCCGCGGAAACGGGTCACAGCTGGTCCCGTCGCGAATGCGTGCTAGGTTCGCTCGAGTGTTGGGGTTGGTCGGGAACGAGTGAATAGGAAACAGTTCGGTTAGTCACCTTGCGTGTTGGTCGCAGCGTGTCGCCGAAAGAACTAAACGGCTGCGAACGAAGCTACGTAGGCGTCGTGGTGTCGCTGACGCTTTGTCCGACGACGGCCGCCACCCTAACTAGTAGTACAGGGGAATATATTGTCGGAAACCGGTGATCGGGAGAATCGCTGAGATGTACCGAATCGCTTCTTCGGCGCGTTGCGCAACGAAGACGGGGGTATTTCTATCACGTTCTACATAAAATCGTGTCGAACGCATGGAGCTGATCGGGGGCAGACGTATTTAGGTCGCGAAGCAAAATTGGACGAGTGTATCAGCGTGCTCGTTCGTGGTACATAGGAGTATACAGGCGATGAAATGAATAGTTTCCGCTGTGTATGCTCTACCGTGTATTTTGCAACAGGTTCTCGGCGAATCTAGATTAGGATAAAGGGGAAGAAGCGTGTCGAGGGAAACAATAGACACGATCGATCAAGAGCACATGTTTATTTAACATACTCTTCGAGTTCATAACAATATTACTGTATGATAAGTCGCGCCCCCCATTCAGTAGAAATGAGTCTTAATCGTAAATGACGTCTCGAGATTGTTTCTCGTAAAATCGGTCGCGCTGCGCGAGGGCCGGTAGTCCCGGCGTTTTGCCATTTCACGTCGCGATCCGTTGTGTTTACGGCTGAACGCATCGACACGCGAATCCATCATCTTCTTCGGGATACACTGAGCAACAGGTGATATATAAAAATGCACTGACGTCGCGATGGTCGATTCGCGGGGTAAAAGTGACTAATACTTTTCTTTTCTTTTCTTTTTCTTCCCTTTCTCTCTGAACGGCTGCCTCGCGCGGCAGTACGGTATAGCGGTATCTACGGTGCACGCTGTTACGCGTGCCGTACGTATCGTCGAGAATATTAATCGATATAGATTTTCCAGCAACAAAAGGGCAGTTTCGATGATGTCGACTGACTATGATTGGTATCGTTTACAGGGTCGCTCGAAGGATACCCCGGGGAATTGACTGCGTTTGTCCCGTCGACGGTACACGTACGAGCGTGCGAAGGAATTCATTAGGCAAGTTAACAATTATTATTATTATTATTATTATTATTATTATTATTATTAATATTATTACGATGCGCTCGAGAAATCTATCGTACGACGCGATACACACGACATATTTCCACCGCTAGTTTTGGTCTTTTGTCACTGCGACTGGACAGCACCAGCTGGACAATGTCGTGGATCATCTTTTAAAATACTGGCTCATAAATTTCATACACTCGTCTCTCGTCACCGATCTCGGATTGATATGGAGTGACTCGGACACACCGGGCACTTAAAATGCGAGACCTGCTTCGGAGTAAGTGGTGAATATCTTCTCGATCGAATTCACGTAAGCGGCTGTCCTCAGGTCCAAGCCGAGATTGAACTTCATGGCAGTCTTCATAATGGCCTGTCGAGCAAGAGAGTTGCGTTTGAAACCGAGTCGGGAATTAAACGTAACGGAGTAAAGAGGGGAAAAAACGAGGAATACCCTGGCAGATCTTTCCATCGTGTAGTCTAAACCAGAATGGACGATATCCTTCTCGGAAGCGCCGGAAATACGTTTCTGGAACGCCTCGGAAGGTGTAACGGGAATCCTTCCGCCGACACGGCCGAACCTACGTTCCAGCGACTCCTGCACGGACTCTGGAAACGATACACAGGTACAATTGGAATAACGCGTTAGCGTCGTGATAGAATACATTGTCGACTGATCGTTAACACGAACGCACCCAACAGATGATAGTTAGACTCTCTCTCGTACTTGAACGTGAGACGACCGTACGACACGTGGTTCAGATTCTTCAGCCATTCGAAGAAAGATACAGTCACACCACCGGCGTTGATATACAAGTCCGGAATGACGAGGATGTTCCTGTCTATCAGAATCTTATCAGCGGCCGGGGTGGTCGGTCCATTGGCAGCTTCGGCGATGATTTTAGCCTGCAGAAGAAAAAGGAGTCTAATAGAATCTATTTCCTCGCCGTTCGTTAGACCAGACTCACCTGGATCCGACCAGCGTTCTCTTTGGTAATCACTTTCTCGATCGCCGCTGGTATAAATATGTCGCAAGGCTCGTACATGAGATTTTCACCTTCGTACGGCTTGGCACCGGGGAAGCCAACGATCGTGCCATTTTCTATGCGGTAGTCTTCCAGTTGCTGAACAACCAAACAATCTTATTAACGACGTTACGTCATCGACGGTAACATCTGGTCGACCTGGAACAGGGACTTGCCTTCGGATCGATGCCCTCCGGGTTGCAAATGGCACCGTCGTGCTCGATCACGCCTATGCAGGTGGCACCGGCACGGTGCAAGTAACGCATCGAGTGCAAGCCGACGTTACCGAAGCCCTGGACGATGAACGTTTTGCTTCCCCATCCAGGCGTGGTGCCTGCGGATCAATCGAATCGATATACGTGTCATCGGACGTCCCTTGTCGACGCGGGCACGCTTCAACAGCTAGGTAACCGATGAAAGCTAAATCACCCACCGATCATGCTCATGTAGTTAGCTTCGTTGATGAAGTTCTCCAGTCCGTGGAAAACACCGCGACCGGTCGCCGATATTCTACCGTGGATCCCACCTTGGTTGATGGGCTTGCCGGTCACGCAGGCGTGCGCGTTGATGTCCAGGTGACCAATGGTCTTCGCGTAAGTGTCCGCTATCCAGGACATCTCGCGTTCCCCGGTTCCCATGTCGGGGGCGGGCACGTCGACGCCGGGCCCTGGAAATTAATTAACATGTTAACACGTTGAATGCCATGGGGGTCACCGGTGACCCCCAACCAAATCGAATTACTATAGTTCACTCGGTTAACCGTTTGACGTATTATTTACTTTCTCCACTAAGCTCGTGGAATATTTTATTATTGGCAATCTGTGAGAAAAGCAGCGAAATTTTCCATTTTACTTTAAGCAGAAATTTCAGTTGAAGATAATACATTGATGATAGGAAAATAGTTGTTTGCTTTGATCCGTGGGCAATGAACGACATTAATTTCTGTTGAATTAATCTAGAAATCTTCGTTGCGAGGGTTAAACTATGATTATTTGAAAAGCTTTGTATGTTGGAAATAGATATGATTTAGTTTCCGAAAAATTCTATGCATATTCTGTCTACGTTGGCACTATAATATAATCATTGATAACAGAAGAATAATATCTGATTATAATTCAAAGTAATTGAGTGATACTTATGTTTGTTGAATTCTATGTAAAATCTTCACGAGTCTCACGCGTTATTGTAAGCCAAGGGGACAATCATGCACTGACAACAAATATTTACCGTAATATAACGTCTCAAGGACGAATATCACAAAAAAAAGCTCTTGGCCGTTAAGGGTTAACACTAGGTTTACGGAATGCGTCAATTTGATGCAGATTGAATTTTAAAACATTATTTGGTAAATGTTTCAATCGGTTTTCGTTGATCCAATTACACGAATATGAATCCTGATTGTCTATTTCTACATCTACAATTTCTGGAATCTAAATGAACGAATATCAACTTCTCCAGGAACAATAGAATAAACTGTACAATAAATGCCCGTAAACCTAGTGTTAACAACGTAACCAAGTTGATAATAGTGTAATTCACAGATTGTCACGGCAAGTAGTAAATAATTGTCACTACTTTTCTTTGAGGATAACTGTACAGAAAAATGGTCAAGATCTTCGTGGCCTTTAAGGTATTAATCGAATCACATCCGGCTCTTATTCCGATCTCCGGGATCTCGCGCGTTGATCGATCGCCGTCACGATAATCTGCTGCTCGGACGTTCTGAGATAACGCTTTATCGATACGAAGCGAGCAAACAATTTCGTGAAAACAAATGGATTACGAAACATCGCTGTGACAATACGGCCACGGAGATCGGATGCATTCGCCACTTCGAAGATAAACCGGCGAATGTTATTTCTACGCTTAACGGTCCGCTGACGTCACCCCGTGCCTTTATGGTCCGGCGACAGTCACCAAGTCGGGACACCAGCTACAACTCAAAGAATCTTTTATCTCGAAAAGTAACAGCATAATCTTTCAGCACGTTCAATGCTTCCACTGTTCTTTTTCTCTTTTTTCCCGACATTCGTACTCGCGAAACGAGGATAGTTACGAGCGGACCGTAAACCGCAGACCGCGAAACGTTCCCAAGGGAACAGCGGTAGGTACAGTTCACCTCTTACGTTAGCTACAGCGTCCAAGCTGAAAGTGCACAGGAGCAGAATGGGACTCTTGGACGGAAACGAGATGAACTATATGAAATTTTGTTTTCTATCGTTACGTCTCATTTCGTACGTCGAAAGCCGAGGCAGCCCGAGTTAGTTTCACTTCAAAAAATGAAGCTACACGCTGATCTCTCGCTATTCGAGTAATTAAATCATGTTTGCGATTTAGTCTTCCAAACAGGAGAATTTAGTAAAACTAAAATCTGATATTTAACGTTGAACCTTGTATAATGCCTCGATACGTGAAATATTGGAACGAATAACCGCGAAACAGGAAATCTGAGATCAGCCATTTTGACTGGGTAGTTCTAGCGTTAGGACCGTAGCAACGTAAGTTTGTTAACGCGAGAGGCGAACAACCAGAGAAGCTGCTAATGTCTCGCGATCTAACCGATGAATCCTTTCTTCGCCAGCTCCAGCGTGAATCTTCTGGTGATCTTCTCCAGCTCGTGTTCCGAGTACAATTTCGGGTTGATCTTGATGCCCGCCTTGGCGCCGCCGAACGGGACGTCCACACAGGCGCATTTGAACGTCATCAGGGCGGACAGAGCCTTCACCTCGTCCCGCGAGACGTCCATCGAGAAACGGATACCTGAAAAGGAGCGGACGACAAGCTGCAATATTTCTGATAGAATCTTGGCGAGGGCAGGCGGCCCGCGATCGCGCTAAATATAAACGCGAACAACAACCGTCGAACGCGTGCACGCGCGGACCGCTCCTCTTTTTTTTCATCGGGAACATTTTCAAGATAGATCGGTGTACATATATTCGTAAGTCATCTATGCGTGCATGTATGACGTGTGTATGTACAGCGGCATTCAAAAGTTCCCGGCCAGATCGTTTTTGGAATTGAGTTCATGCCACATCGACGTGCCGTTATCGTTGACACGTTGACTGCCGCACGATTTTAACGTGCAGAACACGCGAAACGAAAAGAATTCAATGTTAAATCGTTTAATTGAGTTGCGTTATTATTATTAGTGTGTCTTGTCGAATGTCGGAGCGTTATGTAACGTTATTTACAATATAGAAATGTTTTTTAAATTACAGTGATTTGATTTGGATGAGGGTCACCGGTGACCGGAGCTTCCGAGTTGCTTGGAAATGATTACAATAAGATTGATATTGAATGAGAATAAGTAACAGAAGTTTGATAACAGTGTAATGAGTATTGTAATGCTAAAACGTTAATTATTCCTAATACCGTTTCCCTCTATTATAAAGGAATAAATACTATAAAAAACGCTCGAAATTCTCGTGTTAATACAAAGAGTATGACCAAATACTAAGTGTAGTGTGTTAAACACTAAACTATTATTATAATAGATAACGAGCGAAGCAAACAAGCATTATCTTTTTTTTAAACAGTCTAGCTGAAGACTTTTGAACATGCTGAACTATTTATTTCTAAAAAAACATGTATAAAGAGTAGATAGTATAGTAACAAAAAGTTCTTAAAGCCTTTGTTATGTAAGGAAAGCTCCGAAAACGATCTAGGAACTTTTGAAAGCCACTGTATGTATGCGTAGTAGATATATATAAGAGAGCGCGTGCGCGCGTTGCATGGAGAATAATCGGTAAACAACTGTGTCTCGATGAGACCGCTCCTCTCTAGAGCCGGAATCTTTTTTACGATCGATCGATTACCAGGCATTAGCGAGACGAAGGCTCGAGTGTCACGAGGCTCGGCACGACATTAATAATCCCGGGTAACAGCCGCGCGTAATTCCGCGCCGGTGCGAAAGGATTTCGCGAAACACAGCGCGCGCGGTCTAAAATTAACTTTCGACGAAACCAATTACGCAACCGGCGCTTTCTCGAGGGATTATTGGGGGAATCGCGAGATCCCGTCTCCGAGGCTGATTTCGCTGAACGAAGGTCGCCGTTATTAATCGTCACGTGCCGACGCCGCAGGTAAGATAGGTGTGCTGCGCGATAACGATGGCACCATGCGGACGATTCAAACGTACGGCGCGGGAACCGGTCCTCGCGACTTCTTATCGAAATTATTGGAAGTGCCAAATGTGTCGAATACACTCGACTCAGAATTTTTATTCTCATTGCAACAGAGAAAGCCGTTTGCTTGAGAAACTGTGAAGATTCGTCTATTTGTACAGACGCAACTTCTAGTAACGTAGATTCATCCATTTATGCAGATGCAACTTCTAGTAGCGCAGTTAACGGCGATAAAGACTTTCGAAAACGGATGATTAGCGGCGAACGAACGACGTGTCTATTTTTAATCGAAGAAACAAACGCGCGGAAACGGCCGGCGTAAATCGGTCAGAGAGGAAATCGCACGCGCGTTATCGTTCGAAAATAGTCGCAGCTAGTCAGGGTCTCGCGCATTCGAGCGGCCTCGTTAATGACTTCGTTAAATAACAGCTGGAAGATAGGCCGAACGAGATTTCGACGCGAATCTCGCGGGAAGATCGTCTGGATCATTGGATGACGTCGCGTGAAAACATGTGATGTCGCGATCAATGTGATTCGCGGGGAACCGCGCGATAAAATTTGTCCGTGAAATCTTCCGCGTTCAAGGGGGCCAGCACCTTGAGAATTATTTGGTAACGCGTGCGATAGCGATTGCGATAAGCGAATATATCGCTTAACGCTAGATTTACGGAGTGAAACTGACGGGTACTGAATTTTTTTGACTCTTTGCACTCGGAAGTTTCTCGCTAGAAATGTTTAACATTTTTTCACGAGGCGAAGACAATATTCCTTGAAACCAACTCGAAGGGAAATCACGAGTATATTGGGGAAAGAAGCTATTTTATTCCAATATTTTACGTATCAAGGCATTATACAAAATTCAACGTTAAATATCAAATTTTATAGTTTTACCGCGTCAAATCAAATGAGAGTCGCCTTCCGAGTGCAAAGGGTTGTCAGCAAAGTGTCAAATCACCAATCACTCCAATTCTTCGTTCTCTTTTGATCATTCTAACTATATCAATTCTATATTTCCTAATTAACGCGTTCGCAACCAGTGTCACATATTTGTGACAACCGCGATCCCATATTTTCTATAATGAAAATGAAATGAATCCTAGAGATATAGTCAGTGAAAGGTGCAAGCAACGAAATTACATTTAGGGATTCAATGACACGTTCTGGCTTCATTCGTTTCAGTAGTTTGTTTAGATTTATTGAATCGAATGAAATATAATTGAGAGGATCACTGAAATTCGCTGGTAGCGAACGTGATAATCAGTTTTTGTCTTTCAATCAAGTTTTGTCTGTCAATTATTCGACTGGTTATGACAGGAAAAGTGGCGGTGCGGTTAAGTCGAAGTTGATTTGAGCAATTACGCGAATACATAACCCTTTGCACTCCAGAGGCGCCTCTAAGTCACCAAATGATTTGACACAGCAAAACTGTAAACTTTGATATTTAATATCAAACTTTGTATAATGCATCAATGTACGAAATATTGAAAGAAAATAGTTCTTCCTCAATGCATGTGAGATTTCTTAATTCAATCTAAGAAAATGTCGTCTGTATCTCATTAGAAAATATTGAATATTTCCGGTGAAAAACTTCTGGAGTGCAAAGGGCTAATACTCTAATCTTGAAGCCACAATTTCGCCTATACAGACGTGTGTACTTCTCTAGAACCAATACAATAAACTGTAGAACAAACGTCCGTAAATCTAGTGTTAAGCGTCAGAACCTGATTTCCGTGACACGATAGTCTTCCCACGGTTACCAAACATTTCGCGTTATCCGCGAGAAGAGTCCTTCATCTTTCCCCACCTAATTTCCAATTCATCAATACATTTACGCGTAACCAAGCAAAACCGCGAAACGTAATCTCGAGAAAGCCTCTTGTTTCTGTTTCGTGACAGGGTTCCTCTGACGAACAACGAGGTCTGTAGGTCGCAACCCGCGTGCAAGATGTTTCGTTCTCCATCGATCGCCGCGTGTTCGCCGTCGCGGTCTCGTTAGATAAGAAAATCGGCGGTTCGCCTGAGCGCGGCGCGCGGGCCATTGACCTGAAAGCATCGTGACATTGGCACGAGATACCGGCGATTGCCAAAACTCTCGAATTAAATAGCGAATCATCGGATGGTTACCTAACCGAAAGGTTTGGCAGGCCGGACGAAGAAAAAGGTAGACAGCTTGGCATCGCATCGCGTCACGCTGCTCATCGCAACGCATTCTAACTATAGAGTGGAATGATACGATCCGTCCCCGTGCGTATGCGTCATCTTCGACGAAACGTTTCGCTCGCTTTCCGTTACTCGCGTTCCGCCGATGCTACGAAAATTCGATCCGCGCGAGAACCGGAGCTGTCTCAGCGCGACGACCCGCGAGAACTGCGAATACCTGTTGGAACAGGAATAACGAAAAAACCGTAATCGCGTCGAATGGGCGACGATCCAAGATATGTAATACCAAGTCGTTCCGTTTTGTCGCATTATCGTTCATTGTATGTTTCCCTCGCTCCGAGAATTACAGTAATTCGAGGCGGTCGGAGGTCACCGGAGACCCCCAAGATCGTATAACGTTAACGTTGAAGAAGAAGAAGATACGTGAATCGTATACGATCTAGAAACGAAGCGCGTGTCGATTAGCAACGGCGAAAGCAGTCATCTCGTGACACGATAGAACAAAGTAATTATAAGTGCTCGACGTCGATTGAAATCTGTTTACATACTTGGCTCGCGACGCGTTCCTCCGCGGATTCCTTCGCCGCGCGCGACCGCCTCTTTGCTAATCACGAGCTCGTACAAATTTACATCAAGGAGATAACGATACACGCGATACACGCGTTACACGGGCTGACCGCGACTTTCCCGGTGATCCTTCTAATTCAGCCGATCGGTTTCCGAGCGAACGATTCGATTAATTCGCGGCTGTTCATTTGCGTTTAACACTAGAACTACCGAGCATTTAATACGATTAATGTGTAATCCGTATAAAAATTGTAACAATAGATTATTGTGTTTTCTTAGATATTCATTATAGTATTCAAATGAAACTATTTTCAAGATCATTTCAATTATTGAATGCTTTTAAGATAATAATTGCGAAACAAAAAAGTCAAAACCAGTCATTTTGACTGGTAGTTCTAGTGTTGACATTAAAACTGCCGAGCAATTGGAGTAACTTGTTTCTAATTGTATAGAAAAATTAGAACGTTCCTTGAGACTCGAAGGGTGTCTCAGTCTTGTATCTACACGAATAGAATTTAATTGAAAATCTTTCACGAACACGCCTTCGTAATTTAAATACTTGTACAATGAACGTTCCACGTCAATTTGACTCCGATAGTTTTAGCGTTATAACGCGTTCACCGTCGCGGTGGTCGCCGATGACCGGATTACTAGAAAACAATTACAAGAAAGAAACTGAAGTCGAATTGAAATGTTTAGTGGCACGAGTAACTGAATAATACTATAACTTAACGCTGGAATTATCGAGTATTTAATACGATTAATATGTGATCCCTAAAAAAGTTCATCATCTTCGGTTTCTTTAGATATTCATTATAGTGTAAAAGTGAAACTGTTTGTTTTCAAGATCATTTCGAATATTCGATGATTTTGAGATATCGATAATTGCGGAATAGAAAAAGTGAAACCATTTTGATTGTTACAGTAGTTCCAGTGTTAACCCTTTGCACTTGAGAAGTGACCACTTGATTTCATACAGTAAAACTATAAAATTTGATATTTAATATTATATTTCCTATAATGCATCATTTTGAGAAATATTCAAATAAAATAGCTTTGTTCCTCAATGTACGCGTGATTTCTCGTCGACTTAGTTTCACAAAATACCGATTTTATCTCATCAGAAAATGCTAAAATATTTCTAGTGAAAAACTTCCGAGTGCAAAGGGTTAAGAACTATGAAACTGAACCATTAGTAATTAATTCTAGTATTATTTGCCTTTGTTATTACGGTGAGTAATGTTATAAGAAACGCTCTGAATTCTCGCGGCGGTCAACGTGTTAATCAGTGTAACATAATCGCCGTGGGCAACGCTCCTTCAAAACGCAGGCCAGACGCGAACGTTCTCGCGATATCATTCCAAGCCACGCTCGAACGTAACTCGTGGAAACGATACCGGTATCATCGCGTATACATTATTACGTGCAGCGGGACGGTAATGCTCGCGAGAGAATGCAAATGCTTATTTTAATGCGTTTTCGCGGGCAAAGAAGCGCGGGTTTACGGATCGGACGAATGAATCATCAAAGACAGGTCTCACGTGCAGGTGTGAAACATTCAGCAGATGAACTTAAATTATACATCAATTGCATAAACAATAGAAAACAGGGAAAGTATGTGCTGATCTCTTGCCGTTCAAACAATTGAATCGTCTGTTTGGCACTTAGTCTTCGAAATACGAAAATTTTTAAACCTGATCAATTTCCTGGGTCTAGAGGAGAGTAACACAGGGCGGTGCAATTAACCAATCAACCGTGTTCGATGAGTAATACTAACTTTCTCAATGACAATTAACAGAAAGTACCAGACAGGTGAAAACGAGCCATTCCTGATTTCTTCATTGTGTAATTCTTCTAATAACAACAGATGTTTCTCTGAGAAATTACTCGAGAAATTAATTGATTCGCAATTCAGTTTGCGTATTACTGCATCAATTTCTTGAATGATTTCTCGGAGAAACATATAAGACTCGAATTGATTCACAATTCCGTTTGCGTATTACTAAATCAAAGTCTCAGAAGATACAATTGAACTGCTCGGTAGTTTTAATGTTAAATGTAGTTCCTCGGACGGACGCGCGATTCTTTTTCATTTCAATGTTCCATTCGATTTTAACATACGTTACACGCATTTTCCTTGAGTTTTAAATTGTATATTCATTACGGTTCCATCTCATGGCATGTTCCACGAGAGGATTTCAAAACTTAATTTCACGGTTAACCGGTTACGAGCAGCAGAGTGATGACGGGACAAAGTTAAAATGATCGTATGTTCAATGTTGGACGTTAATCTGTTTAGAAGGCCCGTTAATTTGTCGTTTCCGGTAATTTTTTTCAATTTCGACGAATGGATCGACGTCTGCATTTCCTTAGTTACTCTTGTAAAGCAAACGGCAAACAATGAAACAGTCGGTCGGTAGTTTGCTAAGAATCTGGTCAGAAACGCGGACGTTGCTCTCAACCCCTTGCCGTACAATGACGAGTGAGGCTCGTGATAAAGATTTCTAGACTAATTTAACAACAATCAATGTTGTTCGTTACCCACGGATCAAAGCGAACTGTTTTGCTATTAACAATGTATTATCTTCAAATGAAATTTCCACTTGAAGTAGAATGGAAAATTTTGTTACGTTTCTTCGAAATTGATAACAAAATATTCCACGAGCTTAGCAGCGGAAGTAAATAGTACGCCAAGGGGTTAACACAGTGTTTCCCAACCTTCTTTGGGCCATGCCCCACGTAAGCCTTTCTAAAATTCGTCTGTCCGTCTATGTAACATATATATAAGTTTTAATGTTATATCATAATATTTTTATAATATCGTATTATAATATTTTTATAATATCATATTACAATATTTTTATAATATTATATTACAATATTTTTATAATATTATATTATAATACTTTTTCTATTTTGTTTACATGCGTAAATACTGTGAAATACATGAAGTGATATTTCAAATTTCAAATCACTCGCCTCAAAAATCAAATTTGCAAAGCAACTTGAAAACAATGTTAATTTCTCAGATACCTAATGTCTAATGAGAATATTTAACACGTTGAATGTCACCGGTGACCCCCAACCAAATCAAATGACTACAATTCACTTAGTTAAACGATCATTTGATAACATTTCTAAATAAACAACGCTACCTAATGCGGTGACATTCACCAGGCCGCCGTGCAATAACAATGCAATTCAATCAAATGATTTAATATTACATTCTCCCCATTCTCCATACTTTGCACCGTGAAATTATGCGGCGTTCAATGTGTTAACACATTGCGTACCGGCTAATTTTCAGAAAACTGAAATGTGATGGCAATTTTCACTGAGGTCAACTTATATCACATAGAAAAACTCAGGTATCATATTGTTATGTAATATATTTTAAATAGATAATCAATTCGAATTAAATTTTATATTTTTTCAATACTGTGGTAATTAACAAAGTTGCATTTGCTAAGTGTCTTTATAGAAAAACGAGATTTCTCGTTAAATTTTGGTGATATTTTCCTTATGAACTATATTGATTTTTTAAATAAAATATCAAGTTATATGCAAGTTTTTGGTCATTTTTACATATTTTGATATTGTTTGTTTATATTCTCGCTGTTTTGTAACTTTCTTAACTTTAACCCTTAGCATTCTGAACTTTGATCACATTCAGATTTCTCGTTACCGATTTCATGGTACAAAATACTTGAAATGAAAGAAATATGATATTAAATTAAATTTGATTGAGTTGCATTATTATTATTGCAGGTTCACCTAGTTGAATGTTACCACATTAGTTAGCGTTATTTATAGTATAGAAATGTTTTCAAATAATTATGTTTTAATCGAGTGAACTATAGTAATTCGATTTGGTTGGGGGTCACCGGTGACCCCCATGGCATTCAACGTGTTAACACTATCGAATAACTATATGACAGCCTGACACAAGCGTCCCGATACCAACTAATAAATAACCGCTGTTCATCTTTGCTACAGAAGAATAAACGATACACAAAACACTGAAGGTTTTCGTGGCAGTGAACGCGTTAACATTTTCACGAGGTACGCGTTCCCCGAGTAATCTGGTGCTCCAGAAACGAGGTTAAAACCGCGCCGTGTACGTCCGAAGCCGTAAAATCGTCAGAAGTGTCACGGGTATAATCGCACACGCTCGGCGAATACTTAAAAGTAACCGAGCGCGGCGCGATCAGGATGGTAAAATGGAAATAAAATATAAAGGCTGGTTCCTCAAGGAAAATCCGGCGAGGGGAAAGGTCCATGGGTTTCGTGGCTCGGCGAGGGATGGAATTCAAGCGGATTCTAGGCTCTCGTGCTCCCTCGATGCCGTCATCGATGACGTAATTGATTAATACGGGATACGAACAGCTCCAAGGGAGCACAGGTCCTGGCGGAAAGGATCAAAATTCTCTCCGAGGGTTGAACATCTTACGCACAACAGTGTAAGCATGGTGAATAAGCTCATGGTATAATCTTAATTCGTGCAGCTTAGCCTGTAACGTACGTTAATCGATAGAGGAATTGTTAACGGTCGAACGATTTAACACTAGAACCACCAGTAAAATTCATTGTTCTGCATTTCCTTATAAAAATACACATATCGAGTTTCCGATTTCTTTATATTAGTTTCTATTTATCTAAGTCAATTTCGTGGCTAATTCCTAGTAATCGCGAGACTCAAAATGAGTTTTCACCCGGTAGTTCTGTTAACACAATCAAATTGAAGTTTCTAAATTCTGACTCTAAAGCTACTATTATGTCAATTGACCTACTCAATTCGTCAAGTCAATTCCTCCAGTAATTTCGGCGTTTTTTCAATAATTATAAAATAATTCACTAAAGGGTGATTTTGACCAGCTAGTTCTGTTAACACAGTCAAATTGAAATTTCCAAATTCTTGACTCTAAGGCTACTATTAATATTTCAATTGACCTACTCAATTCGTCGATTCCTCCAGTAATTCCGCAAAGCGTGTTTTCAATAATTATAAAATAATTCACTAAAGAGTGATTTTGACTCGGTAGTTCCAGTGTTATAAAAAAGACAGAAAAGAAAGTATGGAACACGTGGGTACTTTGGTGTACGAGCAGCTCGCTAGCTGGTAGGTTAGGCTTTACCTCCTTTGCACGGTGTCCTATGAGTGGAATGCTGGGCACGGTAGCCGGTTATCATCTCATAATCGCCCGAGTCGCGTCTCAAAGGAAACACCGTTTCCAGGATGTGATCACATGGCTCCATCAACATCAGGATACCCTTCACCTTCTTCTTCCTCTCCTCGACGCTCATCCTGGAACGTTTGCCGATGTCCTCGACCAATTTGTCCTCGACGATCTGGCAGGCACGGTGGAAGAAGTACTCGACCATGTCGAAGAACTTCGGGTTAGGATCCGTGGGTATGTCCTTTAGGCGGTCGGGTATCTGATGGTCGGCGTAGCCGCGTGCTTGTAGCGCCGGCACGGCGCGCAGCAACGCGTTGTGGATAATGTCATTGTTCGTCGGCGCTTGTTTCAGGGCGATCGACGACCTTGTTAATCTCCTTACGTGGAACATTTTCCGTTGTCCGGTCTCCTGGACGTTGCCACCGGGAGCAGCTACGGTTTACTGCGTCAACTCAACGTCCGACTGATTCCGCACGCTAAATGACTCGTTCCGCACGGGCCCGTCTCTCTCTCTCTTTCTCTCTCTCTCTTTGTTAGCACGCCCTTTTTCAATGATCTTGCCGATGCTCGGTCTCTCAGCCGACTGCGCGAGCAAACGTCTTCCTTTAATACCGATCGAAACAACTTTGCCTTTCCACCACGTTCCGGATGCGACTCGCTCCTGTGCCTCTACCACCTCGCGTCTCCTCGCTGCTACGCTCGCCAAACTAGCCCAATCGCAATCGGCTCCGGCCTCTTGCCAATCCCGAGATTCTCTAGGAAGCGAACGAAATTCTGCCAACGTTTCCCTAGTAAATCCGGCCTCTCGTCGGTTTGGCTCATGGTTAGAGTACGCTGTACTAACGCCACGTGACTTCTCCAGGAACGTATCGCGCGGTGTGTGATCTGAGGTTATAGGCAGTGTTTCCCAACCTTTTTTGTGCCGTGCTTCACCTGAGTCTTTCTAAAATTCTTGTGTCATATATATAATAGAATATATATATATATATATATATATATATATAAGTTTTTGATATTATATTATAATATTTTTACTATTTTGTTTACGTACGTAGATATTATGAAATATATGAAGTGATGTTTCCAATTTCAAATTGCCCTTAAAAATCACTTGATATTATCGATAACATTTAATATGAGTCCTTTTTTCTTTTATTCTTTCTTTATACTAGTACAATATGTAATCTTTAAGTTTAATGACAGTAGCCGTCCCCCAGTTTATGGAAAAGATACAAACATTTTACAATAAGGGATAAACATTTTCTGGAGCAGCATCCCTAGAAAAAATGTAATTTTAGCTACGAGCCGCCAGTGGTTATAGGAGTAACGAGTTAAATTGCTTACTAATGTTTTTTTTTACTTTTTTAATTTATTTAATAATATTTATTTATTATTAATGTTAAATTTATTACACGCGCTGTTTCTCTTGAGAGAATGGTAGAGCTGTCAAAGAACTTGCTTACATTTATTTGCAAGTGTACACGGTCCTGTCTAGTGCAGAACGAACCAATAAAAGACCTATCATGTGACGAGTTACGCCATCACTACGGTTTGCTCTAATCGTTAGTTGAATCGGCACAGGGAATTTTTTTTATCGTTATTGTTGCTCGCGAATTGAGTCGTTGAATTAATACTAAATTCTTCGCGTATATCTAATTTAATTGGTGGCCAACCGTTATAGAATAAATACGCTATATTATTATATATACGTATATAAAATATATATACATATATATTCTATTCTGAACTCGAAGGTGTCACTAGCTAATAAGAAAAGTTTTTCTTAGATCGTAAAGTTTAATTACATGTATTACATTTTAGTGGAGAGTATCAAATATTTAATTCCTTTCAGTCAATGTATTATCAATTATAACTGGCGATATTTTCAACCAATATTTTATTTATTATACGTAATATTAAATGTTATAAAATAAGTAATGGCGCCATCTACGGTAAAATTGAAAAGTCGTTAGCCAATTAGTAGTACTATTTGTATACTTGTAGATGTCAGACATAGTGTATGCTAGACGCTCAATTGAAAAAATTAAATAAATTAAGAGATCCAAATTAAATTGTTTCTACAAGCCTATTGTAATGATAGTGTGCAACAATAATTGTCATACATTATGTACTTTTATTACTAATAATATAAGATTATATAAGAGAAATAGAAAAGGAATACGGTGATGTTATTCGGTAAGAGGAATGATACAAATTATAGTTTGGGTGATTTGTCATAGATGGTACCATATGTATTTTTAATATTATTTCATATAAAATAAGGAATAAATGAAAAATACCACAATCAACAATTGTTGAAGTACGACATTAAGTTAAGAAGATTCTACGGGTATTCTGATGTTAAACAAAAATTGTAATCTTATTGTTATTGGAATAGTTTTGAATTTTTTCAAAATATTTTATTGCTCATCAAATGTCACGGTATAATCGAAAGTTCTTTCGATCAGTGACTCTCTGATTGCTGAAGCTATGATAGAAAATTATTTTGGTCATTTCTCTTGAAGCTAAAATTTGTGGTTGACGGATTTCGTAAACAACGTTAGAATTCGAGAACGGAAAATTAAATCCCGAAGTACAATATGGAATAAAACTGTCAGGAATTACTTTTTTAAAGTGCTGCTTTAACATTTAAGATTACAATAACATTAACGGTTTGTTTACGTGACTTTTTTTGTGACTGTTATCATCGAATCCGATTGAAATTTCTTAAGTGACAATGTTATCAATATGCATAAGTGAATCACCTTTTGTATTCTTATTTTCTCAGTGATATTTATAAGTGCGATAAAATTATGGTTATGTAAGGTGAATTATTTGCCATTAATATTTGCGTGTTTGTGTATTTAAACGAATACTTCGTGCGAAATTCAAGTAGTGTTCAAAGAAATGAGTTCCTCGGGTTCTCTTAAAAATACGTTTCATAAAGTAAGTATTCTGAAAAATTGTGAAAACGAAATTAATCCGACACCACATTGTTCTAAGACAATGGACGAAAAAGTAGATGAAAGAAAAAACCGTTCTATAAGGGTTGAAAGTAATGGTAAAAAACAACAAAAAAATAAAAATAGCTGTATGAAATTGAAAATCATTCCAAAATGTGACAACGATAGGGACTATATGTTAAAGAATTTTAAAAAACTAACTTTGCAAGAACCTTCTGTGACGGATTTAAAAACGAAAGTACAGAAAATTGAAAGAATACGTCCTGATAATAATTTTCAAGATGAGCAGCAAAATCTTCCTAAACAGGTGAAACGGTAGCAATATACAATAAAGTATATATTATAAATTAATGAAATAATTTATTGATTCTTTGTGAACTTATTCCATGTGTATTATTGCTTAAATGATATATATTTTACAGAGAAATAAAAAAACTTTGAAAACTGGTAAGGAGAGACACAAATTGAAAGAACCAAAATATCAGGAGTTTGAATGTGACAGCACAAAGAAAACAGAAAATATTAAAGAAGAAAATGTATTTAACGCTCAAGGAAAAGCTCCAAAACAGTTAAAAGGAAAAGATAAATTTCCAGAACATATACCCAGAGATCAAGTTCGAGAGATTTTAAGTAACCAAAATTCAATTAATGAGGACTATGCAGAAGGATACTTGCGCATTAATCCTAAATATTCTTCAAATGCATATTTAAATTCGCCGGGTGAAAAACCAGATATATTGATTGCTGGACCAAGGGATAGAAATCGAGCTTTTGATGGAGATTATGTTGTAGTCCGTATACATCCCCAACAATACTGGCAATTGCTTCAAAATGGTCAGACGCAAAGGACAGGTGTTATTGTTTCTATATTAGAAGAAATGCATCCAAGGATAGTGGTGGGATATGTAAAACATAAAGGAGTATTTTTATTTTTTTATCCTAGGGATAAACGTGTACCGATACTTAAAATAGACAAAAAAAAATATCCTTTACCAAAGGAATGCGCTACAGCAGGTGAAGATACATTATTTTTGGCTGAAGTTACTGATTGGGTGAAACCTAAACTTGCAAATGGGTATGATAATAACTTAAAATACTAAAAATTTGAAGTAATAAGAATTATTAATGTCTTATGTGAATTACAGGAAAATTTTAAGATTGGTTGGAACTGCGGGTGATGTATCTGTAGAATCAAATGCAATATTGCTTGAACTTAACTTAGATGTAACGCCGTACAATCAGGAAATAATCAAGGATCTTCCAAATAAAGATTACCGTTTAACAGAAAATGACATTAAAGACAGGGAAGACTGGAGAAATGAATGTGTATTCACTATTGACCCTGAGTCTAGTGCTGACTTAGATGATGCAGTTTCTTGTAAACTTTTAGAAAATGGAAACTACGAAGTAATTTTCTTATTAGATAAATTCATTTTTTATTCAATTGGTTACATATATACTTAAATGTGTACTGTTATGTGTTTCCCTTATTATAGATTGGTGTACATATAGCTGATGTTACCTATTATTTGGAATTCTTGTCTCCATTAGATGTACAAGTAGCAAAGCGAGCTACAACTATTTACATGACTGACAATGTGTATCACATGTTACCGACTCAATTGTGTAATGTATGTTCTCTGGTACCTGGTCAAGATAAGCTTACTTTTTCTGTCATATGTGAAGTGACACCAGAAGCAAAAATTGTGAAATATCGTTTTGCAAAAACAGTAATAAATTCTAGTTGTAAAATGTCTTATAATGATGCTCAAAAATTTATTGAAAATCCCGAAAATAATTGGTCCGACGATACGTTACATATAAGTGGGAACTATAACATTAATGATTTATCTTCAAAAGTTAATACGTTACATAAGTTAGCTAGCAAACGACGTTGTGAGAGATATGCAAATGGTGCTTTGGAAATTGATCAGCCAAAATTACATGTTACAATTGATAGAAGTACAGGTGAACCCGTGTCTTACTACATAGAAGAACACAAAGAGAGTAATAGGTATTAATATTGTTTTGTAAATTAAAATAGTAGTTTAAAGAAATCATTTACATTAATATGTACATGTAAATTATATTTCAGGCTGATACAAGAATTTATGTTGCTGGCTAATATGATAGTAGCCAGGTTTTTGTACAACAATATTCCTGAAACTGCTTTACTACGAAATCATAGAGGACCATCCATGTCTGTTTTAAATAAAACGAAAGATGTCCTACAAAAATTTGGAATTCATTTAGATATTGAATCCTCTGGTTCATTACATAATAGCATCATACGTTATAAAGAAGAATTAGAGTCAGAATCCAATGATTTTGAAGCGACGATGAAATATAGAATGATGGTTATTAACAATCTGTGCTCTAAAGCAATGAACGTATGATTTGTTTTTTATTCACTATTGTTTGTACATTTTAGTTCTGTCAAATATTTATTAACTTACAAATTTTATATTTTCAGCGTGCAACTTATAATTGTTCATCTATCTTTAAATCAGAGGAGGAATTGAGACATTACGCTTTAAACGTAGCCCATTATACGCATTTTACTTCTCCTATTAGACGATACAGCGATTGTGTAGTACATCGATTACTTTATTCAGTCATAAAAAATGAGCCATTACCAGAAACATGGTCGGATAAACTGTGCATGCGGTAGGTTAAATAAAATGAGCAACAAGTAGTTTGTCATTGTAATAATGTATAAAAACACGTACCTTTGTTGTGTTTATTATTTTAGTATAGCAGCAAATTGCAACATGAAAAAATACAATGCAAAACTAGCACAGGAGCAAAGTAGTGAATTGTATTTTGCTTATTTAGTAGATTTAAATGGTCCTTTTATGACCATGAGCATTGTATGTGATGTAAGGGAAACAAGTATAGACGTAATATTGTGTCAAATGGGCATAAAATTAAAAGTTTATTTCACAAATTTAGAAACTTTAGCATCCATTAAATATTCTTCCGATGGTTCGGTTTCAACGATAAATATTACATGGAAACAATCCGCTGTAACTCAGGTAATAAATTATGCAATAAAATTGCAACATTGCAAAAATAATAGAAACTACGTTGAGTATTAATGCGTTCCATACTTTTTAGATAATCAATATTTTCACTTTATTATATTTAAAAATTGAAAAAGACCCTGCATGTTATCGACTAATGGGAACCATTTTACAACCGCATTAGGAGGTAGGAGTCAATAACATTCGTATATTTTAGAGTTCTATTTTAAAATCATGGAAATAGATACTCTTATTTGAACATATATTTTTATGGTATAATTGATATTTTTTTTTGTATAAATTGTATAAACGTATTTTTTAAATTTAAATACCCTTTTATATTGTACGTAAATCTTCAGAAATCATTGTTTTTATAAAATCATATAATCATTGCTGTCAAAACAAATTGAAAATTTGTCAATATATTTTAAAAGGAATGTCTGAATCCAATGACGTGTAAAAAAATAAATAAACTTTTTGCGAGAATTTTCTTTATTTCGAGAATGTTTTAAAGTACATCACAAAAACGTCTTTACATCTTTAATGATCATATAATTTCCTTAATTTGTGTAGGATCGGTATACAAATAAATAGTTCTTACTTATGTCTAACTTTGTACATAAAATTATGCATACCATACGTAAAATATATATACATATATATGTACATACATGAATACATATACATGTATATATTGGTTCATGTATTCTGAATGTG